AACTATCTGATTTCAGATATTCTCTTTCACCACATGATTTGAATATGCATCTAACAGGTCAGTAGAAGAGTCATATTTCCTACCGGTTATCTGTATGGTCACATCAGGCCATACAAAAAACTTTCCTGTTGCATATCTGTCAAGACTACCGGTAAATGTTTCCAGTGTCTTTGAATGTCCCAGATATATCACTCAAAACAAGTTAAAGATCACCCACAGATGTGTGTTGCAAGACCCACCAGCCATGATAGATTAACTATAGTCATATGCAAACTGGATTTTCTTTAATTCTTTTGAGTAGTATACCTCGGCAGCAGGGTAGTGCTATTGGGTTCTGTTTCCAATCTGATCTGACCAGTAACATGTTTTGTGTTATATCACAGCATACAAATAGAATGAAGTTTTCCAACAATGCTGCAGTGTTAAATATGTGGCACAACAAAGTATTTCGCCACTTGAAATCAGAAGCAGTACTCAGATCCAACAATAACATCACTTGCATGTGATAGATCTTTCAAATAGTGCAATTCTTTAAATCCAGGACTGCTACAAGGGATCAATCGAACACCTTATTTATTGGTTTCAAGACAAGCTACAAATGGTTTTGCTGTGGAATATAGGTCCTAAGCAAAGACTTCTAATCATAACTCATGGATTTCATTCTTATCAACAAATAAATGAAACACTGACAGGTGAGGATGATCAGTGAAGGGCGTTCTTCAGTGATTTAAGAAGACACTGTTCCTAGTATATTACCATTAACACTCTATGTCCAAACATATATTTTATAACCCAAACTCAAACAAGTGGTTATTATCTTGGGTGAATATGCAGCGAGGTCAATAACATTGAGCCATTGTATTACCTTTTGTAACTGTAGACCTAAAACAGTGTTTCAATAGAATTTATTGATCATTCATGGATCTTATGTCATTTATTGATATCACAATTTCGTTTTGTACGTACCGATTTCTGGGTTGAATTTTTGTTTCAATTTTGAAGTCGCCTCGTAACACTGACTTGAATAAAACTTTCTGGGACTGCAAAATGGTTAACCTAAGTCCCCAATAATTGACACAATGACAGTTAAACTACATTTGTGTACATATATTTTTCCAATTCAGCAAAGAAAACTGCAAACACGGAACTACAGGAATGATAACTTGCAACATAATCTGATTAGTTGGAACTAAGTATTAGACTAATATTATGCAAATGAATCCAGTGTATGCAATCAGTAGGTGTGAAACTTTAGTTCCACGGTCCACAGATCAAGTATTTTATTACAAAAGTTGAGTGAAGGGACATATATACAGACAAGGCAGATATCAGCATACTGCCACACACCAGGCTCAAGTACAGCACCCACACTGTAGTCATACAATATTCACTCCTCGCGTATTCGTATTAACAAACCATGTCAAATAATTCATGTTGTTGCCTCACTGAACATGCTGAATATGACAAATGATACATCAACTGCTGACTTGTTATTGTATTCGTGAATTATTATTCGTATTCGTTACCCTATATTCATGATACAAATCGTATTCGCCTCATAGTGTATTCGTTGCAGCCCTAATAATGACCTTAATAATAAACAATAAAACATAATTACTGGGTACAGGTATACAAAACTGAAAAAAACAAAAAAATACAAATAATAATTTTAAAAAAAAAAAAATATGAGAAAGGAATATCAAAAATAAATTCTGGAAACTGAATACTAATCTGGACATCTTTGTATGAATCATGTGACAAGATTCAAGTCCATAAAAAGTGGGTGAATTTGATCTGAAATCATATAACTTTAAAGGGAGGGTGGGTGATTTGGGTTTAACATCGCTTTTAACAGTATTCCAGTTATATCGTGGCGTATCAGCTTAATGTGGGAGGAAAGCCCGAAGTGATGCAGATCTGAGACGTTTACACTTCGGTGAAACCCACAAGCACGGGTATGGTGCTGACAAACCTAGAAACATAATCAGGCGAACCGGGATTCGAACCCACAACCATAGGTTTCTGGCGTGCCAGAGGGATGCAACTCTGCACAGTGAATCGCAGCGCCTCAAACGACTGGGCCACCCGTGCCTCCTTGATGATTAAGGAGGTGAGCAAGTTTGTTGCAGTATTTTAGAAGGAAACACTCAGATGGCTTTGCACATTGTACCATGTAGGCAACTGAAACCTGACGTTTGCATCATGAGCAAACACCCACCACTAGGCTACCATACCAAGACACCAAGACACCAAGACACCAAGAACAGGCTCCACACACTGTACCGTTGACGGGAATCAAACCCAGGTCTGCAGTATGACAAGCTAACACCTTAACCACTAACCTACCCTCCGACCCAAAATGATTGAAATGGACCAACAGGAATATAGGGTGTAAATGCAGTCAAGGTTTCAGTAATTAAACCAACCAGAATATAGGTAATTTCAAATCAGTCCTTTATAACGAAAATAATTCAGAATGTAGTACTGAAAGCATGATGTGCTGACTTGAGCCTCTACAATCTCATAATTCTCCCATACACTCGATTCAGACACAACCAGCCTGATAACATTGATAGGGTTAGTACAATCTGTAAGGAACACTATGTATAAATAACAGCATACATTATGTACACACTGATAATCACTATACACGGAAACACATCCCCTATGATCAGTCTCGATCATTGTTCGCGCATATTTAGGCAACAGGGAAAGCAGCCACAAGAAGTGAAGGGTTAATCTGATAGCAGGTAACCAAGTAAGTAAGCAGGCATTGTGAGAAATAAAATGTTACAGTGTTCCCTCGTTATTGCGCCCTTCAATATAGCGCTAACTCGGTTATTGCGCGCGGTAAAGCATGGCTCCCAAAATTTACTAACATTTTCAATAAACTCAAGTTTTCCAATGACGCGATGTTTTCATGAATCATAAATAACTTCTGAAACGTGCAACGTAGATCATGTATACTGCAGAGCATGTATACTGTTTTGTTGGTCATCTACCACCTACGACTCGACCTTCGTTAAACCGCTCATCAATTATTTGGACGTAGATCATGTATACTGCAGAGCATGTATACTGTTTTGTTGGTCATCTACCACCTACGACTCGACCTTCGTTATAACGCTCATCAATTATTTGGACCCCGAAGGTAGCATTGTAGCGAGGGATCACTGTATTCAAAATAATACACTATATTAGTTCGTCAGTTTTCAAGGTTTTTTCTGCCAATATAATTTCAATAATTAACAAGTCTGTTCATTTGACCTGATAATCCTTTTTATCATGAAAAGATAAAGTTTCATAAAAAACATATTTTAGACAGTGACATTTAAACCAGGACATGACAGAAGTGTGGCCAGGCTGGTATAAACCATTTCTTTTATCCTGTATGCTGAAAAAACTGGACATGTCTACAGTATTACATTATTAAACTCTCAACAGTGTTGTCTGTCTTACAGAATTATAACAGAAAGGCTGACAATGACTGCTTGCTACAGTAGTATCATGCAATGTTTCACCATCGAGCCAGTGGTTGTAAGTTGTGAGTGGACAGGCCAAGAATGTAAATTAAGAACAACCAAACTGGCCAATGACTGGCCACCTAGTACATGCTACACAAATTTTACACAACACACAAATTGCCAACACCAATATTACCCACTCAGAGGACAACAATCTGACTGGACAGTGTACATAATCTGACCTCAATAAGTAGGTCCTTCATGTGGAGATGGTGACGGTTTCTATTGGAGGGCTGGTTCAAGAAAATTTCAATTCATGACAATCAAATTCAGGTTCGCTTTGTGAAATTATTTTTATCAATGAGTCCGCTCAAAACATTCTGGTAACTTATTACTGTTCAATGGGGTAAAATGATGTATAGGCGTTCAAAATGTACACATATTTCTGTATATCATGCTTGACTTATTTTCTTTACATGTACCATTTGCATTGAATTAACACAGCATTTCCAGACCGTTCTACAAGATTATGACATTAATTCAAAACAACCATCATGTGACATGGTCAAGGAATTAAGATGCAGAGACACACACTTACAATATGCCAAATGATGATCTCATGTTGTTGGAATAACATTAACAAGTGTGACCCACCAGGAGAAAAGGTACCTCATGGGTGCTAGAATACAATTGTGCTGTGAAGTCATATAGAAAGACGTTTGACTTCAACTTACTTCAATAAAAATTGCCTTAAAACTTATCTTATTTCTCTCCCGTTAGATTGTAATGAAATAAAAACATTATTTCAAAACATTCAATTTATTCTATATTCAATTATTCTGACATCATATCTAAAAACTGAAATTATTACAGAAACAGTTATAAGTCTGAAAATGGGACTGAAAATGAGTCCAAATGTCTGATGTCATATATCTCTATAATAAATATGAATTAAAGCTTGTGGTTTGTATTTTTGTGTTCCTAATGTACTGCATTTTTCAAATATAATGAGAAATGAAAATGTGAACTTTTCACCCTTAGGTCCCCTATCTCATGGTTGGTCACACATGTTTAATATTTCAAAGATGAAGATAACAAAGGCAAAGTCCTGCAAAAAAGCATCAAATAAGTCACCTAAACTTTCCCAACCTGGTGAAATACACAAAATCCATCTTATAAGGGCAACTAGAACTGATACACTTTAACATCAAACACCACAGTATTCAATGCCCCATATACTGACAGAAAGAAATAACAGAACACATAGCAACACAAAGCTTTCTTTGATATTTGTTCCCTATATTTTTCCATCAGTATATAAAGTACATCATAACTACTCAACTGTTGCTAAGAATAGACAAAGACAATGGGTTCTAAAAAATACTTAGCGCTTCATGACACTGCTGCTTTTTTCTTTGTCAGTCAAGTCTCAATGCAGAAATATTTATATATACAATCAAGATGTTGTCTTTGAGCACTTAAAACATATGGTATTGGTGTGGTTTTTAGGTATTTCAACTGTAATGATCGATTCTTTAGTTAGGCCCCACATAAAAATACAAACACAAAAATGGAACAAAATGTAACAGCTACTGACCACTGCAAACAACTTACAAAGAAAAGAAAGCTTCTCTGACAGAAATAGGTATTTGAGACAAAATATGTAACAATCTGCACTGTATACACAAACCGCATGTATACTTCTAAGTAAACCTAGCAAAACATCCTAATTACACATATATATTTTTATCAACCTTCTCCTGTTACTTTTGGTTTGCAAAAGATCTGTTAACCATAAAAACAGAAAGTGTTGCTAACCTACTCCATGAGTGAGTAAGTGAGTGAGTGAGTTTGGTTTTACGCCGCTTTTAGCTATGCAGCAATATCACGGCCGGGGACACCAGAAATGGGCTTCACATATTGTACCCATGTCGGGAATCGAACAAGGGTCTTCGGCGTGACGAGCGAACGCTTTAACCACTAGGCTGCCCGACCGCCCCCCTACTCCATGAAGCCACTAATGACTACACTGAACCTGGGTCATTGTCACATGCTTATGACCTAGTCAGAATCACACAATGGACTTTGCTTTTTATAGAGATTCCTTACGATTATTGAAATGGCTTTGTTGCTTATATTCAGAATGACATTCAGTGAATATAATTAGAAACAGTTGAGAAGTATTACTTCAGTGATGAAAATCAACCATGAAAGTCAAGGGGTCTTTGTATAACCCTGAACTCCTAAGGAAGATTTTGGGTCCTCTGAAGTCAAATACCACATGAGAAGACCTGAAGGAACCATCCCATCTTAATTTCAAACACTGCAGTTTGTTGTCAAAGTATTTACTCTATACATGAAGGAATTGCAGAAATAACGAACTGAATTTGAAATTGCTAGCAAAACATAACCACTACTATGTACATTACAACTGTTTCTCACAGTCATCTTGGAAGAACCAGGGGCCGTTTTTGTAATCTTTACTGTACAGTGAACATTTAAATAGTAACTATGGTAACATGTAAACAATTTCGTAAAGCTAACAATAAATGGTGAAAATTTGGTGCTTCGTGTTCCATTCCCCGTGCTTGAAGAAAAACTTAAAATGGGTGGTTTCACAGCTGAAAATGACAGATCAACAGAAGGGGATACAATATTGTCCTACAGTGTATTACGACTAACTATAGTTATTTCGAATACATAAACTAAGCAGACATACTAGTGTGTACTCCATCTTGTCTGTGAAGCGTGATAGTTTCTGATAGAAAGCAGTGGGACAGATAGTTGTACAAGACATATTAGCAAACACAATGCAATTACAATTAACATAGAGCTTCAAAGCAACGGAAACTCATTTTTCATGTTCTGTCACCATACAGTTAAAACAGACAATCGCACTGAACATTTTTTTTGTGTTTTCATAATGTCATTTCTTCCAATTCATTTCATAAATATTGACAGAAAACACAAAAATATCAAAGCTGTCAACATCCTTTCAAAACCTCAAAGCATTGGTCAATGTCGTTTACCATATCAGAGTCATCAGGACTTGACCTGGAGAACATTTGAACACAAAACACTGTGAAACACTTACAAGATCATGTGAACATTAATGATTGGCTAAAAAAACAACCTTCGACCACCAAAATATCTGCATCAGTCTTCTGATCGATCCCAAAACTTATATATATCACAAAAAACATGGATCCTGAAACTATTTGATGCATTCAATATGAAAAAATTGTTATAACCATACTCAAAGCAAAAGATTTTTAACCCTCCTGAACACAAACCTGTTCAGACAAAGTTTTTCTGTACAAGGTATTTACATGAGCCATAAACAAGTATAAAATGAATTGTTACAAAATTTGCATGACAAAGTCTGTTATACTGGAACTGAGAGGTGTCCGTACGGGGGATTGAGCCGTGGTTCTTTCAGACACGGAATGTCAGCAGCTGTCTCTTGCCTCTACTCTAGCATATCCTGAAACAGACACATAGGCTCTCAGCAACATTTGCTTGTTTGTTGTTTACAATGCACTACGCAACATTCCAGCTAGGTGCAGCCTGGGCCAGACAATCCAGTGAATGATATCATGATCCAAGTTTCTCTCAATGCTGGCAAACTGTACATTTATTATGTCCAGTGTATCAAGTCAAGCCTCAATATTTATAATTGGCTACAAATCCTTTTTTCCAGGTAGCGAATAGTAAAATCATGAAGTAAACCCAATATTGTAGGTAGCCAAAAACAATTGAAACAAGAGTTTGCCACTAGCGTGGCTATTTCCCCTGCCCCTGTTGCAGAATTTATGACATAATTTAATCTAAACAAACCCTAATTTTTTTTTTCTAAATAGCAAAAGGCACCAGTTCAGCATGAAACCGACAAACCTGCAAAGTTTGATTAAAAAAAAATTAAATGGTTTATGAGTTATGCTCCGGAAACGAAACGTGACGGACGGACGGACGTAAGGACAGACGGACGGAGCCCGTTTCTATATCCCCCGCCCAACAAACTTTGTTGGGCTGGGGATAATTATCTTTTAAAAAGCATTGTAATCAAATTCCTGATATAATAGATATATCATGTACATACACAGTAAACTATGGTTATAATGAACTCAAAGGGACCACTAATCTTAATTTGTTATAACCGTAGACCGTTATAAGCAAATGTACGGAACATACACATCAAATGGACAGGACCAAAAAATAGTTTGTTGTATCCGTCAGTTTGTTATAACCATGTTCGTTATAAACGTAGCTTACTGTATTATGCATGGTGTATTAAGTTTCTCTCAGAGTTGGCAAACTGTACACATATTATGTACAGTGTATCAAGTTTCTGTCAGCACAGGCAAACTGTACACATATTATGTATTGTGTATCAAGTTTCTCTCAGTGCAGGCAAACTGTACACATATTATGTACAGTGTATCAAGTTTCTTTTAGAGCAGGAAAACTGTACATATATTATGTCTTGTGTATCAAGTTTCTCTCAGCGCAGGCAAACTGTACATATATTATGTATTGTGTATCAAGTTTCTCTCAGCACAGGCAAACTGTACACATATTATGTTTTGTGTATCAAGTTTCTGTCAGTGCAGGCAAACTGTACATATATTATGTATTATGTATCAAGTTTCTTTTAGAGCAGGCAAACTGTACATATAATATGTACAGTGTATCAATCTTCTTTTAGAGCAGGCAAACTGTACATATATTATTTACAGTGTATCATATTCTTTTAGAGCAGGCAAACTGTACATATATTATGTACAGTGTATCATATTCTTTTAGAGCAGGCAAACTGTACATATATTATGTACAGTGTATCATATTCTTTTAGAGCAGGCAAACTGTACATACATTATTTACAGTGTATGATTTACTTTTAAAGCAGGCAAACTGTACATATATTATGTACAGTGTATGATTTACTTTTAAAGCAGGCAAACTGTACATATCTTATGTACAGTGTATGATTTACTTTTAGAGCAGGCAAACTGTACATATATTATGTACAGTGTATCATATTCTTTCAGGGCAGGCAAACTGTACATATATTATGTACAGTGTATGATTTTCCCTTTAGTGCAGGCAAACTGCTTTACTTACATCATCAGAATCATCATGGAAGGACTTCACTTTAGACTTTGTTCGGGTTGTGGTCCTGTTGGCTGACCCCTTCTGCATAGCTGACCCGTGAGGAAGGGCCTAGAAAACCAAGATGCGTGAGAATTACATCAACTGCACCAAGCTGTACCTCACCTTGACACATAGCCAACAGCTTAAAACAGCCTATATAGCATTTACAATATGGGTAAACGCTGTAAATCAGATTTAAACATTTTGAACAAGTTCAGATGTCATGACTGGTGGAAACAAGCAAGTGCAGTTTCAGATTCATTTGTCAAGTGGTTTGTGAAGAGACGATGTTTACAATGCATTTTGAGAGAACCCTGGAGTATGGTCAAAGTGCAAAGGTAGGATAAAGGTCAAATTTGAAAATATCGCATAAAAATGGAACATCAACATGTGTATTGAGCTCCACTATACACATATTCGAACGTTTATTACATTTTGAACAAAAGAGGCGGAGTAACAAGGACCTTACGTTTCAAAGGTCAAATCAAGGTCAAAATTTAAAATATCACAAAACAGAACAACCCTGGAACATATAGATGATATATGTTGAGCCCATAACTAACTACTCCTGTACCAAATTTCATGATATTTTGGGGGGCACGGGTGGCCCAGTCGTCTAAGGCGCTGTGATTCGTTGCAGAGTTGTGTCCCTTGGGCACGCCAGAAACCTATAATTGTGGGTTCGAATCCTGGTTCACCCCGATTATGTTTCTAGGTTTGTTAGCACCATACCCGTGCTCGTGGGTTTCACCGAAGTGGTAAACGTCTAGGACCTGCATCACTTCGGTCTTTCCTCCCACATTAAGCTGACACGCCGCGATAAAACTGGAATAGTGTTAATTGCGGCGTTAAACCCAACTCACTCACTCACACTCATGACATTTTGCCAGACGCCAGACAAACAGGCCATGAAATATGCTCACTTGGCTTTCAGTCAGGTGAGCTAAAAAGTGCCAGAGCTATCACATGGTTCTACTAACCTGAACTGTTATAGCTGTGCTTACTATTGTTTGATAGGCATTACTTTGAAGTTGAAAGATGACGAAGAAGAGACACTTTATGGATAACAACTTCTTTATTTACTGTAAAGGCGACGTCTTGTTATAGATCCTTATACCGTCCTTGCTTGACAACGGTATAAGCATCTATACCAAAACGTCATTTTTTCAGTAAATAAAGAAGTTGTTATCCATAAATTGCCTCTACTCTTTGCTTTTACTTGATTCAGGTTTCAGGCTTAAGTGGCTAAAGTTGCAGATTGTATGCATACCTAGACAGAGCTCCAGATAAGCTTTTGGTGTTGTGGGCATTTTACCCATGCATTTTAAAATCATTGGGTATCAGTCATTCTATCTGGGTATTCAAATTTCTGATACCCACTAGTTTTTACACATATGGGTATTCAAGTTAAATATTTAAAAACACTATTCATCTAGTCCCTGCAAATTGGTGTCGTGTGGGTTCTAGAGCTTTTTAGGACTCAAATATACATGTACCACGATACTTCCATAAGAAAGTGTGATGGCAAATGATCATGATGTAACTGTCATCATGGAGTTTGGCAAGGTTGACGGAATGCCCGTTTATAATTTCAAAATAAGTTGCTGATTTGCTAATCGAATACGCAGGATTACTTCACAATATTTTGATGATACGCACAAGTCTTATTTTTGTAGCGTATCTGTAATGTTCGTTGCGTATTTGATACGCTTGGATTTAATTTTACTGCATATTTCTGCATATCTGATGCATATTTTACGCAGATACACAGCTTATCTGGAGCTCTGCCTAGAGTTCTATAGTACATTCAAGATAATCAGTTAACTCTTCACAGACTTGTGAGTGACATACCTCATCATCAGAATCTTCATATAATGTATGTTGTGTGAGAGCATTCTCCAGCTCATTGGCGTAGTCATCACCTTCCGTCTGATTCAGCATAGAGTAGCGATACACCACTTTACTGTAACACAAACAACATTATTACCTTGCAGTCACAGACCATCAGCGCTCCACACTTGCGTGTCCAGTCATACATTGCCTGTGCAAATAATGGGCCAGGGATTAATAGGTTTGATTTAATGTTTGTAACTTTTGTTTGCTGTTTAATGCTGACTGAGCAATATTTCATCCATATGACGGCAGCCTGCAAATAATCAGGTCTGATCCAGACAATCCAGTGATTGATATTATGAGAATCGATCCAAGCAGTCTGGGTATGATGAAATGCAGTGAACCAAGTGACTGAGCCTGACCATCTGATCCCAGGGATTTATCTAGACTTGCTCAGAGGCCGATATTCGGCCCCAAGTCAGCAGTACATGTCATTAAAAATTCTAAAAAATGGAATTAAAAGTTTCCCAATTTATATTAATATACATATAACATTCAAGAAAATAAGAACTTAAAAAAATTCCAATGTTGAACAAAATAACAATTTTTTTCCCAATTTGCCTGTCTGGGGAAGTATAAAATTGTGACTATATCCCTGGATCCTTAACATCGCCTCCATCTTCCCGAGACTGACAGAAGGGAAGCCAGATTCTGACATCTTCCCGAGGCAAGAGAGTTAACTGACTTTAAAAGTCCAGTTTCCACCCTTGCCGAACTGGGCTGGAATTACTGGGCTCGATTGTAGCGCCACTTGTGGCTATTACCAGCTATGTCCCTTCTAAGCCTCTCCTATGGACCAATCAGATTCCACCTCTTGTATCACTTGCGTTTGCTTCACACAAAATGGTGGCGCCCAGTCAGGACGATCTGATCGATAGTCAAGATCTATATTGTGATAAAACGGGTCTTAAATCGCGAAATGCATCGAATCTTGAGCACCTTCATTAAAAACATGAAACCATTTGGGAAAATATCTGCTGACAACGAGTTGGCAGTGCACATGCTTTGCAAATCCTGCAATCGACCGAAATCTGCACGACAGACCCGGGTTTCGATTTCCTGCGCGAATTTGATTGGACTATGCATAGACTCGTTAGTCCAGCCAAAATGTAACTCCATAATACCAGCCTAGTTCGGCAAGGGTGGAAACTGGACTTTTAGTTAACTCTCTTGCCTCGGGAAGATGCATTGCCTCTTACGACATGCATGCTGCTGGGGGACCAATTCTAATCTGGAATCACCACAGGGATAGACATGTACTGCAGGGGGAAACGGATGTTTTCAGTGCTCACAAGCAACTGGAATCAATGTACCAGAAATAAAACTCAAGGAATCTGTACATGCTGCAGCTGCAAGACGAACAAGGTAACATCCATCCAAAGTTTCACCTCAATCCAAAGTCTACACCTCTGCTAGAAAACATGCAGATTTGGGTTAGAATAGGCCTTCAGCATCCTTGCGAAAAAGGTGACAAGAGGGATCGGGTAGTCATGGCATGCGATCCCAAATGCGTAGATCGATGCTCGTGATGTCAATCACTTGATTGTCTGGTCCAGATTGATTATTTACAGACCATTGTCATATAGCTGGAATATTGCTGAGTGTGGAATTAAACAACAAACAAACAAACAAAATCTTTGCTAGCAAGGCCAAGTGATGAATACACTTCAGTTTTACACATATCATATTTCTAGAAATTAACCTTTTATTATTCTTGTGTTGGGGCCTGTGATTTCTGTCTGAGACAGAATAGTTTTTAAGTTAGCGCTTCAAGACAATGATGTCTTTCTTTGAAAGGAGCAGCCAAACCATTTTTTTGTAACAAAAACAAAACAGAGCATTTTTACAAAACCTGTGGAAAAAATATTATTCCCCAACATTTTCAGGAACAGATGACCTTTTTCTAAACAATCGCAGCTGCATCCCCAAGAATGTCAAAAGGTCAGCCCCTTACAGCATACAAAATTAATCACTACATACATTAACTTCTGATAGTTTGGGGGTAGTCGGGTAGCCTAGTGGTTAAAGCGTTCGCTCGTCACGCAGAAGACCCTTGTTCGATTCCTGACATGGGTACAATGTGTGAAGCCCATTTCTGGTGTCCCCCGCTGTGATATTGCTGGAATAATGCTAAAAGCAGCGTAAAACCATACTCACTCACTCACTCTGTTAGTTTGTCCAAATAATCATTTTGCCCTGCTGGCGATGTTGAAATTAGACTGAATTTCTTTCAGCAATATTAAGTAACATCTGTGAATGTTTTAATATTCAGCAAAATAAACAAGTTAAAATGTGTTTTTCAGGAATAATAGTTGTCAAAGGATAAAGGAGGGTACACAAGACAACACATAAAAAGCAAAGTAAGTTCATATACAGACATCCTCACTTCTTCAACACTATAATACATATCTGTACATGATTCAACTTCTGAGGTTAAAACACGATTTCCAAATTCTACATGTGAGTGAGCTGCAGAGCACTACTTTTATATATCATTGCTGGGATCTTACATACAACATTTCAACATAGGCATTGTGGCTTCTGGTCTGGCAAGATACCAGAAGAATATAATTGCAACAAAGTTCTGCCACTTACTGTTTTTGAAGAAGGTACATTTTGTATAAGAAGTAGCCTGAGACAGCAGCAATGAGGATGACTACCACGGTGATTATAGCTCCAAAGACAACCGAGTGATCTGCTTGCTGCAACACATCAGTGGATAAGTTTATTTTAGTTACCAGTAACACTGAAGCCTGTAAACAAAAAGGCTTGGATAGTTAAAACATAGATTCAGGGCAGTGCGACATGTCTTAAAGAGGTTGCATACAAAAAACAAAAAATTCAAGAAATGGGTTTTTCAGATTAAAAACGATGTTTTATTGGTCTGTTTTCAGTCGTACAAATGGGTATCTCTCATACCCTCACGTCTAGTCGCACGTTTAGAGGAAGCCAGAAGCTGGAATGTAAACATTAAACTTGTTTCCGTCCGGTTGCGCACGCACCTCCCTATGACATGTCACAAATCTCGAAGAATAAGCCATCAAGCAGGACTGGACTGGATTACTTCCCTGTGGGGATGGCTGGGTGGGAACGTACGACTGAAAACAGACCAATAAAACATCGTTTTTAATCTGAAAAACCCATGTTTTAGTCTGTTTTCAGTCGTACAAATGGGTAGAATTCGACGGAACACTGGAAGGAGGGTCGGGAAAGTAATCAGGCAGTGACCACTTTCACGTCGAATGTACCAAGTTCCTCACCCCTGTAGTGACAATAGAACATTCGACCAGATGCACGGACGAGACAAGTTGTTTATCACGAACGCACAGCAAGGTTAATGCTCTTCGACACACAACTAATTATCGATGCGACAGGCCAACTGCACGCGTCAGTTGAACTGCGATCGAAGTGTGGTCGACGAATAGTTTAGTTACAGAGCAACTCGCAGTATACAAGGTAACTAAAACAGCATGTTTAATGCTCTTCGACTCACAACGAATTATCGAAGCGACAGGAAAACTGCACACGTCAGTGGAACTGCGATCGAAATGTGGTCGGCGTATAATTTAGTTACAGAACTCGCCGTAGACAAGGTAACTAAAATAGCATGGGTAATGCTCATCGACACACAACTAATTATCGATGCGACAGTACAACTGCACACGTCAGTTGAACCCGGATCGAAGTGAGGTCGGCGTATAATTTAGTTACAGAGCAACTCGCAGTATACAAAGTAACTAAAAAATACGAGCAGTACTATAATGTATGGGTAGACGATGCATACACCGAATAACCATAATAAAAAGCAGAAGTACTGCACGCAACAAAAAACCATAAGAATGCGTACATTCACCAACAGCTTTTATTGTAACCTGTAGTATGTCACGAAGTGTCGAGCAAAAACTCCAAAGTGAATAAAACACGAATTCACTGTCTTTTCTGAGAGATCTGTTGTGCCACCACGAGTGGACCAAACTGTTTGAGTCCTTCAACCTCTTCTGTGGAGATATCTCTAAGATAATGCGAAGCAAACACTGAAGTAGATCTCCAAAAGCAGCCCTCCATAATAACTTGTAGCGAACAATTACTGTGGAGTGCTAATGTTGAAACGAAGGCTCGAACTTCGTGCGGATGAGTTGAGGTGGGAGGTGCGAGTCCTTGCGCCTCGTAAGCTCTGAGAATTACCGCTCTCAACCAAAATGAGAGAATATTACGTGTAATCTCTTTCTTTGCATTGGTTGAGAGCGGTATGAACAGCCATCGAAAATGTTGTCGTCGCTGTTCAGAACGCTGCAGGTAAATACGAAGCGCACGAACTGGGCACAAGGTGAGATCAGCGTGATCACGAGGGCCCATAATGGTAGACAAGGAAGGTTGAACATTCTCGGATCTTGGCCAGGAAGTTAATTTTTCGCTAAAAAATCCCATCGGAGACCAAGATGGACATTGCCATGGTTACGCTGATCGAACGTAATCCGACCGACGTCAATGGCATGTATTTCCGTAATTCTCGCAGCCGTAGCCAGCGAGAGAAGGAAAAACCGTTTTCTGAGACAACAAGTCGAACGCGACCTTATCGAGAGGCTCGTAAGCCTGACTAGACAGGTTGCGCAGAACGACATCGAGGTCCCAGGCCGGCGGTCGGAATTTACGTGACTGATCTTCAACCATGAAGGCACGTAGAATCTTCTGCAACTCCGGCACGTTAGTGAGCTTGTCGCCCGTAGGAGACGGCACTACCGAAGCCAAAGCTGCCAGATATGTCGAGATCGTCGACCCTTTCAGACGCCGAGATGACCGGAGAGAGACTAGGAACTCCGCCACCTGTGGTGGGGTCGCTACCGCCGGGTTGAAGCCATGAGACCTGGCGAAAATGGAGAAAGTGGTCCACTTGTCATCTTACAGCTTACGAGTCGTAACTCGATGTGCCGACGAGACAAGCGCTGCCGCTTTAGCTGAATAGCCTTTCTTCATTAACGAGGTCTTAAGCAAACCCAGGCGTGAAGCTGGAAGTTCTTTATCCCCGGATGCAAGTCGTCGGTGTGAGGATGAAGAAGGAGGTCGTCTCGATCTGGCAACGGGAACAGTGGTTGAACGATGATCTGAAGAAGTTCCGGGAACCATGTTCTGGCCGGCCAATAAGGCGCGACCAAAAGCAGACGTAGGTTGGCCGTTTGACGAACTTTCACCAGTTGCGATGGTAACAGCACCGTTGGTGGAAACGCGTAAGCGTCTAGACCCCCCACGATATCGCTAGAGCGTCGTGGTCCCATGCCCATGGGTCTGGAACCGGTGACACGAATCGAGGGAGGCGGTTGTTGTACGGGGCAGCAAAGAGATCTACTTGGGGCAACCAGAGTCGATCTGTCAGCAGATGAAAGACTGTCGGATGGATCATCCACTCCGTGGGAGACGGCCTCGATGGTCTCGACAGGGCGTCGGCAATCACATTCTTGGCCCCCGGGATGTGACGGGCGCGTACGCCCATGTCCAAGTCGTCGACGAGGGCGAAGAACCTGAATGTCCGGTCCAGAAGGGCCGCCGACTGAGTTGTTCCCTGTTTGTTGACGCAGTGGACGACTGTGGAGTTGTCCGACTGTATCATCAGCCGTTTCCGACGGAGTCGAAGTTTCCAAAACTCGACCGCCCGAAGCACTGCTTCCATCTCGAGGTAGTTGATGTGGAGGACCTTTTCTACTGGCGACCACCGCCCGGCCGCTTGGTCGTCCCCGAAGTGCGCTCCCCAGCCTTCCAATGACGCGTCTACGAATAGGTGTAGAGTGAACGGAGGCTCGCTCATAAAGACGCCCTCGCAAACGTTCGACGGCTGGAGCCACCACTCCAAACGACAACGTAGCTGCGCCGGAAGTGGAACCAGGAGATCGGGAAACTCCAGGTGGGGGTACAGCAATCTCTGCAGCGGACGAAGTTGAAGACGACCTCGACGGGTCAAGTCTTGGGCCGATGTCAACAGACCGAGGACTTCCTGCCACGTGTGCACCGACGACGAGGTATGTAGACGTCACGGAACGCTGCTGACAATCTTGTCCCAACGGTCTTGAGGTACCGGGACCAGATTGACTCCCGTCTGGAAGCGTATCCTAATGTACTGTAGAACCCGAGGTGGTACCAAGTCCGACTGTTGAAAGTTGACGATCCACCCGAGGTACCGTAGTAGACTCAGGGTGGTCGCCAACTCACCTTGAAGGGCTACTGTAAACTGGTGAGCTTGGAGCCCGTCGTCTAGGTAGAAGGCGACCCTGATCGCCTGCCGATGGAGCCATTCTACGACCGTCTTCATGATCCGTGTGAAAAAGCACGGGGCCGTAGAAATTCCAATCGGGAGGGCCGCCCACTGGTAATGAATACCTTGGCATTCGAATCGGAGGTACTTCTGGAACTCGGAAGCTATTGGTACATGTAGATACGCGTCCTGAAGGTCTAACGAGACGAGGAAGTCGTTCGGTAATATCATCCGACGCAGAGAGCTGAGGGATGTCAAGCTGAATGTGTCGGGTGGTTGGAGGTATGTTGCGTTGAGGAAAACCCACTTGTGGGCATAGTGACGAAGTCGCCCCCCTACCGGTAGCTCGTCTAAAGGTAGTGTCACCGGGGGAGACTCCAACCACGGCGACGGCGGGGGAAGGGACCTCACTTCCTCCCCTGCTGGTACTTTCCCCCTCTGGGAAACGTGGAAAAGGAGACCTGGCGACCTTTCCTGTCGGAACCTCCCTTGCGGGACGGCTGTCGAGGCACGTCCCTACGGAAGGCCCGTTGCACATTCTCGTTTCGGTAACGTCGTCGTGGGGCGTTCGAAACCGGTGGCCGTCTGGACAGGTTGGGTGAAGCCGAAATGATGATGTCACGCTCGGCTTCCCTGGAGTACTTGTCCAGAACGTCGTTGGTACGACCGTCGAACAACTGTTGCGATGTCCACGGGGCCCGTAAGAGTGACCTGCCATGACGATCAGGTAGGTCAGTGCAGTCGATGTAACCATGGCGACGCGCCGTAGTCTGGCTGTCGTCACAATCCATCGTCGACGTCGAGTGTGGAGGCGTAGATGAAGGAGCTGCTGTACTAGTTGACGGGCCATGGACCCCTGACGTAGTCGTATCCTTCTTGGTCGACGCCGTCGAGGCGAGGACCGCCGCCGTGATCTGGGCTATCAAAGCCGGGTCGATATGAAAGTGAGACGAGGTCGTCGTTCTGTCACTATCTTCACTACGACGCTGAACCCCCAAACTCTCCCTGCGAGAACGTCGCACGTCCCCATGGGAACGAGGGCTACGATCTCTAACTGTAGAAGTACTACGATCCCCATCGTAGTTATCGTCCGAATCGTACATTCGACGACCACGATGACGATGAACGCCCTCGTGTCGTGTACTGTCTTCTGTGTCCACTGTCGTCCCGCACGACGTCCCTATCGTCGTTGGTAGAACGAGATGCGGACCGACTGGGGACCGTAGTCCCCTCATGGTCCTCGTCACCACCCGGTCCCGTCGTAACGGGGGAGGCTGAGTGACGCTCTCGATCAACCGAATGACGAAGACCAGTCGTGCGGGTAGTATCATCAGCAGGCGAACGAGGGCTACGATCTCTAACTGTAGAAGTACTACGATCCCAATCGTAGTTATCGTCCGAATCGTACATTCGACGACCACGATGACGATGAACGCCCTCGTGTCGTGTACTGTCTCTCGACGAGGCACTCATCCAGTCGTCCCGACATGAACGGGAACGACTTCTGTGTCCACTGTCGTCCCGCACGACGTCCCTATCGTCGTTGGTAGAACGAGATGCGGACCGACTGGGGACCGGAGTCCCCTCATGGTCCTCGTCACCACCCGGTCCCGTCGTAACGGGGGAGGCTGAGTGACGCTCTCGATCAACCGAATGACGAAGACCAGTCGTGCGGGTAGTATCATCAGCAGGCGAACGAGGGCTACGATCTCTAACTGTAGAAGTACTACGATCCCAATCGTAGTTATCGTCCGAATCGTACATTCGACGACCACGATGACGATGAACGCCCTCGTGTCGTGTACTGTCTCTCGACGAGGCACTCATCCAGTCGTCCCGACATGAACGGGAACGACTTCTGTGTCCACTGTCGTCCCGCACGACGTCCCTATCGTCGTTGGTAGAACGAGATGCGGACCGACTGGGGACCGTAGTCCCCTCATGGTCCTCGTCACCACCCGGTCCCGTCGTAACGGGGGAGGCTGAGTGACGCTCTCGATCAACCGAATGACGAAGACCAGTCGTGCGGGTAGTATCATCATGTCGAAAACTGAAGTTGACTGAGGCGGGTCTTTTTCAACTGATTTCTGAGGTGTGGTCGACTCGCCACCCCCAGGGCCTGATGCGGAGGGTGCATAGTCCAAGGATCCAACCGATGACCATCGCCGCTTGTATCGCTGGTCAGCGGCCCGCTTCGCCAACGCACGAAGATACAAGTTAAAGTTTATTGAAGACAAGTTCTCACATTTTTTACAACGTTTATTCCACGAATACGTTGAAAACCCGTCCTTAATGATGCAGGAAGGACAATACTTGTGAGGGTCTACTTCAGACAGTTTTCGGTGACACGAGGCACAAATGCCCGACATATTGCCACGTGTAGAATCACTGACAAACAGCGAAACACGCGTTGAACACAAACAATGGATTACCAAGGATTACATTCCAGGAGTCTACAGGTAAGACATATAATGACTTTATTAGAACAACTGCAGATAAGCGATAAGTACTAGTAGAATACAAACTAGCAGTCTACCGCGAAAGACTTTCTCGAGCGACCAGCGCAGAGGCGCGCTGAGAGATTTGTGACATGTCATAGGGAGGTGCGTGCGCAACCGGACGGAAACAAGTTTAATGTTTACATTCCAGCTTCTGGCTTCCTCTAAACGTGCGACTAGACGTGAGGGTATGAGAGATACCCATTTGTACGACTGAAAACAGACTAAAACATGGGTATATTTGGTATCATTTTGTAGGAAAATGTGTCCTGAATCAAATTACGCAATAAAAAACCAAGTCACGACGGCATTTGAAAAATAAGTGGCGCCATCTAGAGGCACTAGATGATAAAATAATTTTGCCAATAAAATGGTCATTTTAAAGTTTGATTATTAAATGAGTGTTTTTAAATAGACATATTACAGTATTGATATAACACAAAACAGAAAAATGAAAATTCAAGTCAAAACATTTTTAATTTCACACATCATTTACCTTAAAAAAAAGCACATATTCCAAAAAAATTGATTCATCAGTCAAAAAAGCATTTTACAAAATCAAGATATTTTTCAAACTGGCTTATTTCTAATGTTTATTCATTGTAAAATAAAATTATAAAATAAAAACAACATGTTACCAGAGGATATTCAAATTATTTTCAATCGACACAGCATGCTCCTAAAATAATGAACCAGGGGAGGTAGCTCTTGCCCAAATTTACATTTCCATGAGTTCTTATGCAATTAGCCGCGAGTCAAAGGGACGTAAATGCATTACAAATACTCGCTGTTACATGCGCGTCCGGTATGCGCATGAACAATGGTATCCAACGTCTTTAATGACAAATAACAACTAATTGACTAATCTTTGGTTAACAAATGCAAATTGTTCCCTACATGTTGTTATCCAAGGTGTACACTATTTTAAAAATCTGTAAACTGTGCGGACAAAGCTGCAGCTGTACAATGACACAGAAAGCTGCCACTGTACAATGCTGCCCTATCGGCTTGGTCAGACACTGCATTCCCCTGATCTTCATCTTTGTTGGCTCTTATAGATTGACTGTTTATTGTTTACACCGCACTCAGCAATATTCCAGCTATATGACGGCGGTCTGTAAATAATCGAGTCTGGACCAGACAATCCAGTGATTGATATCATGAGCATCGATCCACGCAATTGGGATCAATGACATGCATCAACCAAGTCAGCGAGCTTGACCACCCGATCCTGTTACTCTTACGACAAGCATATTCACCTTTTAAGGCAAGCATTGGTTGCTGAAGACCAATTCTACCCCGGATCTTCACGGGTCGGGTGTTATAGCAGAAGCTAGAAGTGACTAATTATATGTTGCATAAAAAATGCCACATTGAAAATGTGAAGTTCCTGCTAGGGCTGGGACGAGTGCAATTTTACTACCCGGGTACCCACACCCCTATTACCCGACCCTACCCGGGTACCCGCTGTTGGCGTCAAGAGATAGGTACAAAATGTCTGATTGGGAACAGTTTGACAGTAGCCCTGGCAGAATGTATTTAGATACACGTATAAAACGATGTGGTCATGCATACACTGAAGTTGACTGACGTTTCAGCTTTGTTCAAACATATATAAGTCAGAAGGAACGCGTTCATAGTCATGAAGAAATGAGAACATTAGAGACTTAAAATTGTCGTGTCACCATGTAGTTATATTGTGAATTTTTGTCCTGAAACAATATATCACGTGACTAACCATGGGTCCGGGTGGTCCTGTGGGTACCCGGGTCCTACTTAGTACCCACCCGACCCGAGTACCCGAGTTACCCGTCCCAGCCCTAGTTCCTGCCCCATGTGTCAGTGAGCCAGGGTATGGTATATTCAGGCTTACTTGTACAGGCGCTTCCATCTCCTTGACTAACGTCTTGGATCCAACACTGCACATGGCTGTCATGTTAATCTTTGTTCCAATGAATGTCACACCACCTGTACATACGTCTCCAGGGATCTTCCGGTATCTGGCATGGAGAAAAGGGGAGGATTCAGAGAGGTTTATATCGTAGTCATTGCTAGTCACCTATAATGCAGCCACACAATAACCATATCACAGCTGTATAGCTATACTATCATTGTATCGATGTCACATCCATATCACAGCTGTATCATAGCTATGTCATTAATATAACATCTATATCATAGCTATGTCATCAATGTCAAATCTATATCATACGAGGGGTGTTCATTAAAGATTTCCCCTGACCCACTTAGGGTTATCATATTTGGTTGAAATTTCACATGTGTAATGATACATGTATCTATGGGTTATGTCTGAATTTGCAGCACCGAACTACTGATCTTACCACTTTTACAGGTGTTATGATCGAATAGGGTGTGACAATGGAGCCAGTAGAATACCGAGCAGTGATTAGGTTTTTATATTTGAAAGGTCGCACACCAAAAGAAACTTTCGATGAAATGAAAGCAACTTATGGGGAAGATGCCCCATCATATGACGTTGTTAAACACTGGCATCGCCAGTTCAAGTGTGGTAGGAAACATCTGTGGAAACAGCTGCCATTCCTGGTCGCCCCCATTCAGCCATTGATGAGGACACTATCCATCAAATGGAGACTGCCATTTTGGCAGACCGATGTATAACTGTTTGCCAGTTAGCACAAGATGTCAAGATCAGTGTAGGGTCTGTGGAAAAAATGTTCCATGACAATTTGAACATGCATAAGGTGTCTGCATGATGGATTCCCAGGTTGCTCACACCTTTCCAAAAGCAGGAACGAGTCAATTGCTCAAAGGATCTTTTGGACATGTGCCAAAAAAAACAGGCAAACTTTTTTGACAGACTTATCACACAGGATGAAACATGGGTCCATCATTATGATCCTCGAATCATTCAGTTCAGTTCAGTCGATGCAATGGAAGCATGTGGAGTCACCACCCCCAAAGAAGGCACGTGTCCAACCCTCTGCAGGCAAGGTCATGCTCACGGTGTTTTGGGACCAGCACAGGTAGTGATTCTTGGCAAAGGGTACCACAATTACAGGAGCTTATTACGCTTCACTGCTGCGGAAATTGCGGGATGCTATCAAGCTTAAGAGGAGTGGCATGCTGACCAAGGGTGTCTGTCTCCTGCAAGACAATGTTTAATAATGCGAGCAAAAACCACTCGCATTTTTGGCATTTAATTCATGCTCTCGTTAATATCAAGACTTACAGTATGTGCAATATTACTGTATACCGTATTCGACGTAATAAGCGCCCAGGGCGCTCTCAAAATTAGAAATAGGGGGCTCTTATTAGAATATTATTTTGGTGAAAAAAACAGAGTTAAAGGATAAATTTCATGGTTTATGCTGACAGCCTGAAATGTTTATATACCACAGATATATTTTTCCAGAATTTAATTGCCCATAATTAAGGGTGCATATAACACACGAGTGCGTATATATAAGTCTTGTGTACATTGATCAATCGGAAGGGGTGCTAATTGGGATTGTTCACTAGCCAATATATTAGCAAATATCGCCGTGGGCGCTTATTAGAACGGTGCGCTTATTACGTCGAATACGGTATAAGCACTATCGAAGCCACATTAAAAACGTACATCAGCTGCATAAGTTATTCACCATCTGTTTCGTGTGGTGACTAAAATTTGAATTTCTCTTGAAAGTATTGAATGACATCTCACCCTTCAGTAATTATTACTTCTTCATGTCCCCGAAGACAAACATCAACATCCTTCCCCGTGAAGCCTGGTTCTCGGATACAGTCATCAGTTGAGGGTGGCCGGTAGAAACTGTAGTCACTGGAACACCAACATGGCAGGTGTGAGTGAGTGAGTGAGTATGGTTTTACGCCGCTTTTAGCAATATTCCAGCAATATCACGGCGGGGGACACCAGAAATGGGCTTCACACATTGTACCCATGTCAGGAATCGAACCTGGGTCTTCGGCGTGACAACGAACGCTTTAACCACTAGGCTACCCGACCGCCCCTCATGGCAGGTGTGCAAGAAGGGCTTCGGTGTGTGGTTGGTTGTTTGTTTGTTGTTTAACGCCGCACTCAGCAATATTCCAGCTATATGGCGACAGTCTGTAAATAATCAAGTCTGGACCAGACAATCCAGTGATTGATATCATGAGCATCGATCTATGCAATTGGGATACGATGACATGCTTCAACCAAGTCAGTGCGCCTGACCACCCGATCCCGTTAGTCACCTCTTACGACAAGCATAGTCGCCTTTTATGGCAAGCATTGGTTGCTGAAGACCTATTCTACCGCGAATCTTCAGAGTGTGGGGGTTTTCATTTATATTGCAGCAAGTCCAGGTTATTGACACTATTCATTGAATCAGGGACTTTGACTTGACAAGAAATATTGTTGATCATAAAAGAAAATAAATGCTGCATTGGCTAGCCTCATCAAATTCAATCAAATAACATCCATAAAAAAATAGTTTTTTTCCAAATGCTTGCCATTGACTTCGGATGCAAGAGTTAACCAAGAATGTAGAGAGGTCATCAACTAGATGGTCTATTTGAAGTAATATTCCCGAGGCAGGGGAGTTAACTGACTAGTCCAGTTTCCAAACTCACCGAACTAGGAGTGAGTGAGTATGGTTTTACGCCGCTTTTAGCAATATTCCAGCAATATCACGGCAGGGGACACCAGAAATGGGCTTCACACATGGTACCCATGACAGGAATCGAACCCAGGTCTTCGGCATGACGAGCCAACGCATTAACCACTAGGCTCCCCGACCGCCCCTAGCCGAACTAGGAAGGACCCATAGAATTGTAGTTAGGCTGGACTAACGAGTCTATACATCAACATCAACATCCGGTCCATAAACTGCCATGCAGATTTTGGTCGCTTGCAGGGTTTGCAAAGCATGTGTCCCGTCTACTTAACATCAACAGATATTTTCCAAATCTTTTCATGTTTTTAATCAAGGCGCTTAAGTGATTTGGTGCACTTCGTGAAGTAAGACCCGTTATATAACAATATTGACCGTGATTATCGATCAGATCGTCTTGACTGGCACTGCCATTTTGTTTGAGTCAAATGCAAGTGATATTAGAGAATCTGATTGGTCAATAGGAGTGACATAGAAGAGACATAATTCATAATAGCCACTGGTGGCGCTTTGATCAAACCCAGAAATTGCAGCCTTGTTCGGCAAGGGTGGAAACTGGACTTTTACAGTATCATTATGACACAGTAGTGAGTGAGTGAGTGACCGCTTTTAGCAATATTCCAGCAATATCACGGCAGGGGGCAGCAGAAATGGGCTTCACACATTGTAACCATGTCGGGAATCAAACCCGGGTCTTCGGCGTGACGAGCGAACGCTTTAACCACTAGACTACCCGACCGCCCCGACTGACACAGTTAGCATAAAGTGATGTGGTTAGCTGATGGTGGTACTTTAGCTTCAAAGGGAGATACTCACCATTCATAATCCTCCCTTGTACAGTGGCAGGACATTTCAGTTTTCTCTACATCATGTTCATATCCATTTTGACACCTGAAAGAACGTAACGAATGTTATATTTGGGATAACACTTTCTGAGTACAGTACAGATTCTTGTTCTCTTTTGGGTTGAGTCCCGTCCGGGATTCGAACCCACACTGCCAGAGTGAGGCACCTAATCGTCAGCACACAAAGTCAGTAATCTAACCCATTCAGCCACCGACACTTCCACAAAAATGAAAGTCAGACAACTGGTAGTCAAGATCACATACTTTGTGTACCCCTCTGACATGTATAAATTGGCACGGCTCCCATGGCTGAAAGCAATAAACACACAATGCCATTTAGAAAGTGGTCAAATGTAAGAACAGAAAACAAAGTCCATTAATATTTGACATGATTGGGGCAGCCTTATGTACAAGTATGGTGGTGTTTGATACATACTTGAACTCATCATGTGATACCTATACTAACAAATATCTGATATCAAAGCTAAACATACACAAGCATGCTGAGCATTCCTGTCCTAAACAGAAGTTTGCCATTTAATCAAGAAGACTTATAAATTTATTCTGAGAAATAGAGCCATGAGCCTCTGTAATAGGGTTTATAATAGACTTTTTCTCTCTTGATCAAATATGTCAATTAATGTGATCAAATATTTTTGGAAACTTAAAGGAAAACATGTAACTTCAAAATGGTTCCACATTAGAGACACAAACACTACATAAAAAAATACCCAATGATGCATGAATAAACGGAAAAATATAGGGTCCAAAGACCAAAAAACCCCAATAAACCTGTTTCTACATAAAATAGATATTCTCTGTAATACCGAGTTGTGGAGTGAGAGAGAAAAAAGTAAAAAATAACACTGACACATGGAGGAGGTAGTCAAATGTGGTGTGTGGTGTGGTGTGGCGTGGCGTGGTGTGGTGTGGTGTGGTGTGGTGTATGGTGAGTGGCGTGAGTGGCGTGGTGTATGGTGTGTGGTGTATGGTGCGTGGCGTGTGTGACGTGGCGTGGCGTGGCGTGAGTGGCGTGGTGTATGGTGTGTGGTGTATGGTGCGTGGCGTGGCGTGGCGTGGTGTATGGTGTGTGGCGTGGCGTGGCGTGGCGTGAGTGGCGTGAGTGGCGTGGTGTATGGTGTGTGGTGTATGGTGCGTGGCGTGTGTGACGTGGCGTGGCGTGGCGTGAGTGGCGTGAGTGGCGTGGTGTATGGTGTGTGGTGTATGGTGCGTGGCTCGGCTTGAGGTGGCATGGCATGGCGTGGTGTGGTGTATAGTGTGTTGCATGGCGTGGTGTGGCGTTGTATGGTGTGGTGTATGGTGTAGGCGTAGCATGGCGTGGTGTATGGTGCATGGTGTGGCATGGTATATGGTGTTTGGCGCGGCGTGGCATGGCGTGGTTTATGTTTTTTCTCCAATCAGTTTATCCCACTTATCCTAGATACATCCCTGGAGATCCCATGCTGCAAGTTAACATGGAGATGTGAGGAACCTACCAGGAATCTGCTTTGAGCTTCTTGAAGGATTGTTTCAGCCCCAGGAGACAGCCTTCCACCCCCTCTTTCTCATGGCGTCTCATCTCACTGTGAGGTCTCCATATCTCATAGTCCATGTCAGTACCTGAAAGTCAGTTCACTTAGGAATAATTACAAAATGAATTTGTTACACAAATAGTTCTTCGATAAATGCAGGTATGACTGGATTAAGGGAGCCACTATCTAGTTAACCCCAACAGGTCACTTGATTATGTCTGGAGGCTCAGTATTGGCACATTTTTTTAGCATTTGTCATTTTAGCCAAATATTGGGTTGGTTTGTCAACAAACCAACAAACAATATATTTGTTGTTGGTTTGATTATCAATAATTTAATAGTTAGTTATTGACTTAAATGCAAGTACTGAATGCAGCAATCTTCTCACATTTTTTAGTAATGACATCTTCGAAGTTGATGACGTAGACCACCCACTTCCTTTGCTGATCATTAGTGTAGCCCCAGATGGAGACGGTCATGGATCGGCCGCCAGGTTCTGTCAGGAGCCCCGTGATAAGTATATCATCATCAGTGAACTTGTAGTCATGCCAGCAGTTGCCCTCGTCTGTTGAGAACTTGATGTGTTTGGGCTTACTCTGGTTGGTGGAGACAGCGACCAGCAGCCCCCCGCTGTCTGTAATCTGGTAGTAGTGGGGCCCATCCAGTGTCTGTGGAGCACAATACCAGTGTTAGGTCAAACTATCTGGTCCTAAGACCAGGTATTATGGCTAAACAATCAACATCAGGATACCTTTGACGTCTCTGTCAGAACGGATCATATGGGCTAGTATTTCTGCACAGAGAATAAATATATAGGGTGATAATGGGTCACCCTGTCGACAACCGCATCCAATATTTAACCAAGAGGACAAATGATCATGGATGGACATACAGCTTTTTATATCATTGTAAATGCTTTTACGGCAAGCATGGGTTGCTGAAGACCAATCTTACACCGGATCTTCACAGGTTGTCACCTGCATGTGACAGATGAGTGAGTGAGTGAGTTGGGTTTAACGCCGCTTTTAACAGTATTCCAGTTATATCACGGCGTGTCAGCTTAATGTGGGAGGAAAGCCCAAAGTGATGCAGGTCTCAGACGTTTACCACTTCGGTGAAACCCACGAGCACGGGTATGGTGCTGACAAACCTAGAAACATAATCGGGGCGAACCGGGATTCGAACCAACAATCATAAGATTCTGGCGTGTCCAAGGGACGCAGCTCTGCACAGAGAATCGCGGCGCCTTAGACAACTGGGCCACCCGTGCCCCCCTGTGACAGATGAAGGCCAGTGGTGACAACAGCCTATAGTTAAACAAACAAACATTCTCCTGTGTGCAGGAGTGTGTGCATGTTGTTGTTTTTATTGTACTTAATTTTTCAGTCAGCGCTCTTTTTACTCTGAAAGATTCATATCCTACAACACAGTAGTTTCCAGACCATCGAGCCTGTCCCGTGAACACTAATTCATGGGTGTAAAACGCGAGTACAAAATTATCACCACCAAAATATCAAATGGTCGACCCTTGATTTGGTTTGGTTTGTTGTTCTACACCGCACTCAGCAATATTCCAGCTATATGACGGTGGTCTGTAAAATAAGTGTCTGGACCAGACAATCCAGTGATTGATATCACGAGCATCGATCCACACAATTAGAATTATTGACATGCTTCATCCAAGTCAGCGACTCTGACCCCCCAATCCTGTTAGTCACCTCTTACGACAAGCATAGTCGCCTGGTCGGCCCTTGATGGGTCATGGTACAATGGCAAGAATGAGTGAGTAAGTTGGCCCGAACACTGCTTTGAACTTTTGCAATTACAATGGCAATTTCAATGTTGAAGCCAAAAGTGGTGCAGGTCATAGACATGTATCACTTAGACAGTGCTGGTATAGTGCACTCAAACCTAGGATTATAATGGCAGCAGATCCTGAAACTAGGGGACATAACTCTGCACAGCCACTTGTCCTCCATGCCAGGTGAAATGAAAAGTCTGAGTGGCAGAATGTACCCATAGTTACGACTGTTAAGTGGCATGAGACTGGGGATGATAGCAAGGAGACTTAAGTAGATATATACGAGTTCTGTGCCCATGATGTTCATACAAGCCAAGTGCACAAAGCGTATTGTAACTTCCATATTTAAACCAAGATGCATGCTGGAACACCTTACAATCAGCATTGGGAACACCTTACAACCAGCATAGGGAACACCTTACAACCAGCATGGGGAACACCTTACAACCAGCATGGGGAACACCTTACAATCAGCATAGTGGAACACCTTACAATCAGCATGGGGAACTCCTTACAATAAGCATAGGCAACACCTTACAACCAGCATAGGGAACACCTTACAATCAGCATGGGGAACAGCTTACAATCAGCATGGGGAACACCTTACAACCAGCATGGGGAACACCTTACAATCAGCATAGTGGAACACCTACAATCAGCATGGGGAACTCCTTACAATAAGCATGGGGAACACCTTACAACAGCATGGGGAACACCTTACAACCAGCATGGGGAACACCTTACAATCAGCATGGGGAACTCCTTACAATCAGCATGGGGAACACCTTACAACAGCATGGGGAACACCTTACAATCAGCATGGGGAACACCTTACAATCAGCATGGGGAACACCTTACAATCAGCATGGGGAACACCTTACAATCAGCATGGGGAACACCTTACAATCAGCATGGGGAATACCTTACAATCAGCATAGTGGAACACCTTACAATCAGCATGGGGAACACCTTACAATCAGCATAGTGGAACACCTTACAATCAGCATTGGGAATACCTTACAATCAGCATAGTGGAACACCTTACAATCAGCATTGGGAATACCTTACAATCAGCATGGGGAATACCTTACAATCAGCATAGGGGAACACCTTACAATCAGCATGGGGAACACCTTACAACCAGCATAGGGAACACATTACAATCAGCATGGGGAATACCTTACAATCAGCATAGTGGAACACCTTACAATCAGCATGGGGAACACCTTACAATCAGCATGGGGAATACCTTACAATCAGCATAGTGGAACACCTTACAATCAGCATGGGGAACACCTTACAATCAGCATAGTGGAACACCTTACAATCAGCATGGGGAATACCTTACAATCAGCATAGTGGAACACCTTACAATCAGCATTGGGAATACCTTACAATCAGCATGGGGAATACCTTACAATCAGCATAGGGGAACACCTTACAATCAGCATGGGGAACACCTTACAACCAGCATAGGGAACACCTTACAATCAGCATGGGGAACTCCTTACAATCAGCATGGGGAACACCTTACAACAGCATGGGGAACACCTTACAATCAGCATGGGGAACACCTTACAATCAGCATGGGGAACACCTTACAATCAGCATGGGGAACACCTTACAATCAGCATTGGGAATACCTTACAATCAGCATGGGGAATACCTTACAATCAGCATAGGGGAACACCTTACAATCAGCATGGGGAACACCTTACAATCAGCATGGGGAACACCTTACAATCAGCATGGGGAACACCTTACAATCAGCATGGGGAACTCCTTACAATCAGCATGGGGAACACCTTACAACAGCATGGGGAACACCTTACAATCAGCATGGGGAACACCTTACAATCAGCATGGGGAACTCCTTACAATCAGCATGGGGAACACCTTACAACAGCATGGGGAACACCTTACAATCAGCATGGGGAACACCTTACAATCAGCATGGGGAACACCTTACAATCAGCATGGGGAACACCTTACAATCAGCATGGGGAACACCTTACAACAGCATGGGGAACACCTTACAATCAGCATGGGGAACACCTTACAACAGCATGGGGAACACCTTACAATCAGCATGGGGAATACCTTACAATCAGCATAGGGGAACACCTTACAATCAGCATGGGGAACACCTTACAACCAGCATAGGGAACACCTTACCATCAGCATGGGGAACACCTTACAATCAGCATGGGGAACACCTTACAATCAGCATGGGGAACTCCTTACAATCAGCATGGGGAACACCTTACAACAGCATGGGGAACACCTTACAATCAGCATGGGGAACACCTTACAATCAGCATGGGGAACACCTTACAATCAGCATGGGGAACACCTTACAATCAGCATGGGGAACACCTTACAACAGCATGGGGAAACCTTACAATCAGCATGGGGAACACCTTACAACAGCATGGGGAACACCTTACAACAGCATGGGGAACACCTTACAATCAGCATGGGGAACACCTTACAATCAGCATGGGGAACACCTTACAATCAGCATGGGGAACACCTTACAATCAGCATGGGGAACACCTTACAATCAGCATGGGGAATACCTTACAATCAGCATGGGGAACACCTTACAACCAGCATGGGGAACACCTTACAACCAGCATGGGGAACACCTTACAACAGCATGGGGAACACCTTACAATCAGCATGGGGAACACCTTACAATCAGCATGGGGAACACCTTACAATCAGCATGGGGAACACCTTACAATCAGCATGGGGAACACCTTACAATCAGCATGGGGAACACCTTACAATCAGCATGGGGAACACCTTACTATCAGCATGGGGAACACCTTACAACCAGCATGGGGAACACCTTACTATCAGCATGGGGAACACCTTACTATCAGCATGGGGAACACCTTACAATCAGCATGGGGAACACCTTACAATCAGCATGGGGAACACCTTACAATCAGCATAGGGGAACACCTTACAATCAGAATGGGGAATACCTTACAATCAGCATGGGGAACACCTTACAATCAGTAGGGGAACACCTTACAATCAGCATGGGGTACACCTTACTATCAGCATGGGGAACACCTTACAATCAGCATGGGGAATACCTTACAATCAGCATAGGGGGACACCTTACTATCAGCATGGGGAACACCTTACAATCAGCATGGAGAACACCTTACAATCAGCATGGGGAACACCTGCATGGGGAACACCTTACAATCAGCATGGGGAACACCTTACAATCAGCATGGGGAATACCTTACAATCAGCATGGGGAACACCTTACAATCAACATGGGGAACACCTTACAATCAGCATGGGGAACACCTTACAATCAGCATGGGGAACACCTTACAATCAGCATGGGGAACACCTTACAATCAGCATGGGGAACACCTTACTATCAGCATGGGGAACACCTTACAATCAGCATGGGGAACACCTTACTATCAGCATGGGGAACACCTTACAATCAGCATGGGGAACACCTTACAATCAGCATGGGGAACACCTTACAATCAGCATGGGGAACACCTTACAATCAGCATAGGGGAACACCTTACAATCAGAATGGGGAATGCCTTACAATCAGCATGGGGAACACCTTACAATCAGCATGGGGAACACCTTACAATCAGCATGGGGTACACCTTACTATCAGCATGGGGAACACCTTACAATCAGCATGGGGAATACCTTACAATCAGCATAGGGGGACACCTTACTATCAGCATGGGGAACACCTTACAATCAGCATGGAGAACACCTTACAATCAGCATGGGGAACACCTGCATGGGGAACACCTTACAATCAGCATGGGGAACACCTTACAATCAGCATGGGGAACACCTTACAATCAGCATGGGGAATACCTTACAATCAGCATAGGGGGACACCTTACTATCAGCATGGGGAACACCTTACAATCAGCATGGAGAACACCTTACAATCAGCATGGGGAACACCTGCATGGGGAACACCTTACAATCAGCATGGGGAACACCTTACAATCAGCATAGGGGAACACCTTACAATCAGCATGGGGAACACCTTACAATCAGCATGGGGAATACCTTACAATCAGCATGGGGAACACCTTATTATCAGCATGGGGAACACCTTACAATCAGCATGGGTAACACCTTACAATCAGCATGGGGAACACCTTACAATCAGCATAGGGGAACACCTTACAATCAGCATGGGGAATACCTTACAATCAGCATGGGGAACACCTTACTATCAGCATGGGGAACACCTTACAATCAGCATGGGGAACACCTGCATGGGGAACACCTTACAATCAGCATGGGGAACACCTTACAATCAGCATGGGGAACACCTGCATGGGGAACACCTTACAATCAGCATGGGGAACACCTGCATGGGGAACACCTTACTATCAGCATGGGGAACACCTTACAATCAGCATAGGGGAACACCTTACAATCAGCATGGGGAATACCTTACAATCAGCATGGGGAACACCTTACAATCAGCATGGGGAACACCTTACAATCAGCATGGGGAACACCTTACAACAGCATGGGGAACACCTTACAATCAGCATGGGGAACACCTTACAATCAGCATGGGGAACACCTTACAATCAGCATGGGGAACACCTTACAATCAGCATGGGGAACACCTTACAATCAGCATGGGGGAACACCTTACAATCAGCATGGGGAACACCTTACAATCAGCATGGGGAACACCTTACAATCAGCATGGGGGAACACCTTACAATCAGCATGGGGAATACCTTACAACAGCATGGGGAACACCTTACAATCATCATGGGGAATACCTTACAATCAGCAAATGGAACCACCCTGGTCTCATCCCTACAAGAAGAAAGAGGTGCTTCTTATACACTGACCTTCCTCCAGCTGTACCCTCCATCAGTAGTGATGTAGACATTCGGCAATGTTGTCTGGAGAGCATCTGCAGCATGAGCTGCAATTCCACAAAGGAGACACAATCAATCTATGCCGAGTCAGTGAGCTAATACCAATGTAATATTACAACCATATCATGGCCTAGGCCAACTCATGGTGGACAACAATTTGCCCTGTAATCCGTGGTGGACTTCTAAATCAGCCAATCAGCGTGTCAGTATCTCATAACCAGTGGTTCCAGAGTGCCAAGCCATCTTTACCCAAAGGACATATTATGAAGGCAATATTTCTGTTTTGTGTAGGTTTTTATTTGCCAAGATCAACATTTCCTGCTTGCAGACAGAGGGGGAAAAGAAATCTACCAAGCACAAATTGTTCCTGACAATGAGGACATTACAAAAATAGTAACCCAAAATCGTTAAAGAAAGCTGACATCTGAATGGCTCAAAAACAATGCATGCTTCTTTTTGATTGGGTGGATAATGTTTACCAAGGGTTCCTTAGACATACAATTGTTTGGGTGAGCGGTTGACGACCAATTTTAATTTTATTTCAACAAGCCTTAAAATTACATCAACAGCACTAGAACTCTGTTCATACTAAAAAGTATCAAAACAAAAGCAATTGAATTACATTTTATGTAACCTAACAAACATTTGTGGAATATAATGGCAGAAGACACCAAACCAACTTGTGGAATCAAATCTAGGTTTTTCGGTGAGATGTGTCAATACCCCAAGGTTTCCCCACTGCTAGGAGGTGAGGTGAAATTGGGTTTAACATCGCGTCCAAGGTGATTGCACTTATATAGCGACGCGCATGCACGTGTGTGTATGGCTGCTTGTACTAGTCCGGACTGATGCCGATTTATAGTGCTAGCTCACTGAGGTACCATGCCGCAGTTTAACATGAATACCCCACACTCAGACACAGTATACTGACTCCAAGCCGACCAGTCCTTGTTTTAGCCCATTAATGCCGAGCGCATGACAGGGTAACAACAAGTACCATCTTTTGACGTCTTTTGGTATGATGCAGTCGGGGATCGAACCCCGGACCTTCCGCTCTCCGGGCGGACGCTCTAGAAAGGTGCCACTAACCATGTACTAGAACAAGACCAGGAGGACGCTCTACCTCTAGACCACAGAGGCGGACCCCACTGCTAGGACCACACAATAGAAAGGTGACACTAACCATGTACTAGAACAAGACCAGGGGCATTCGCCGTGCTGATTGGTGGCTTGGCCCTGACTCCTTTAGAGATGCTGAAGAAGTTGTGGATCTGCAGCTGACAAGCCTGGAAACACAGCAGGGTATTCCTGTATACAGTCAAGTCCTGTTAATCCGACATAGTCTGTTGCATATGATTATGTTGGATTAATGAAGATGTCGGAAAACAAAAATTAAGTGGTATCAATGTTAATGATAAAAAAAATCTGACAACTACACAAAACAATACATGTTCGTTGCAATAAAATAATCAAAAAGGAAATATTTATATTCTTGTGTTATATTGTTTGTGGAATATATTCTTTAATCATGCATAGTCTCTCAATATAGCCTGGAATGGAAGTCTCCAATTTGAAAGCAGTGCCTCAAATCTTAAGAAAGTTCCTTTCTTATTGGTTAATATTGACTTCCTGTTAGTCATTTCATTGGTCAGTCAGAGTTTGCGAAAGGTCGTTCTGACGTGATCTGTAATGGGATGTTATGAGTTGGCTTGCGTTGGCTGGAGGTGAGAGATGTCAGCGTTCAGCTCTCTAAATAGATCAGCACATAGCGAGTGAGTGAGTGAGATGGGATTAACGCCACAGTATTCCAGTTATATCGCGGCAGGTCAGCTTAATGTGGGAAGAAAGCCTGAAGTAATGGAGGTCTCAGACGTTTACCACTTCGGTGAAACCCACGAGCATGGGTATGGTGCTGACAAACCTAGAAACATAAACAGGGCGAACCGGGATTCGAACCCACAATCATAGGTTTCTGGCCTGACCAAGGGACGCAACTCTGCACAGCGAGCAAGGGTATGGTGCTGACAAACCTAGAAACATAAACTGGGCGAACCGGGATTCGAACCCACAATCATAGGTTTCTGGCGTGCCCAAGGGACGCAACTCTGCACAGCGAGTAAGGGTATGGTGCTGACAAACCTAGAAACATAATCAGGGCTAACCGGGATTCTAACCCACAATCATAGGTTTCTGGCGTGCCCAAAGGACGCAACTCTGCACAGGGAGCAAAGGTATGGTGCTGACAAACCTAGAAACATAAACAGGGCGAACCGGGATTCGAACCCACAATCATAGGTTCCTGGTGTGCCCAAGGGACGCAACTCTGCACAGCGAATTGCGGCGTCTTAGACGACTGGGCCACCCGTGCCCAACTCAGCACAGAGAACACCACTTTGCAAGGGTATAACAAACCCACAGAAGTTGGTAATGAAGTCATTACCAGTGAGAAAACTCATGAAGGAACATATCCATCACGGCTAAAACTCTGTTTGATCAGAATCAACACATCACGAGCATGGTTCACAACAACAACGAACCCAGAGTGTAGACACAATTGATACCAAGCTCAGCACATCAGTAGTAATTGTGGAAAAGACACATCAAACGACAAATGAGATAAAAAATAAACATCTTAGGGAGGTGACAGAAAGACAGTTGAATTCTTAAACATGTATTACAACATAGACTTGCTATACACAGAACACAGAGAAATAAAAGTAACTATTTTAGAATTAAAAGCATGCTCTACGTGGGACAACTTTCTGTTTCACAGAATTCCTGAGATGCCTTGAGATACCGTATTTTCTTGAGTATAGTGCGCACCCATGTATAATGCGCACCCCCCTCTAGCGGGTTCAATATTTTGGGAAAAAAAAGAAATTTGAATATTATGCGCAGAAAAAATTTACACCGTAGCCTTTCAGCCAAGTCCGGCAAACAAACGGGTGCTGAGAAACTTCGTCAGTACAAATTCGAAATTTGAGATAAAAAATCACCAGACATGTTTTTTTACCGTTTAAATAGTATTTATTGTTCTGCTAGGCATTGTTTTATATCTAGGGATTAAGATTACCTTGTGTATTTTCTCGTAAACTAAGCCGGAAACAGCAATCAGCTGTACACACGTTTTCTTGGAATCGACCGGTGATTCGGTCAAGACACACCCAATGATATAACTTTATAGGATTTTTAATGCAAGGATCGGCAACAATTGTATCTGAAACTATTTTTTTTATCAGGAATGATATATTCCAATATTTTCTAAATTACTTGCAGCCTTTACTAAACATATTTAAAATAATAATAACCCTAAGCGAAGCAGCATATCGCTATTCCCGGGTATTAGGTTTTACATGGAACCAGTCTGACCAGTGAAGGCTCACACGCACAAGATCGCGTGATCGCGAGAATTTCATGTTGACATAGAATCGTCAAACAAAAACAAATATGACTTTTAACGAGTCAAAGTATGTCATTTATGATATATGTATCCATTCTCTGTCAACTAAAGTTCGTTTCAAGGCGTCAATAGCGGTATTCTGACCATGGTTGCTGTTAATAACGGTGAGTTGTGCGATCTTCCAATCGCTTCACACACGATTTCGCCGAAATTAATAAAAACAATATTATAAGGAATTTTGAATAAAATTAATGAAATAAGTTACAAACATAAGTCCAGATATACAAAGAACACTTTTTATAGTCAGACTGTGTAATTACATGATTATTTTGCGTACTTCAGTATGGATTTGTTGACATGGTATTTCCGGTGTTTCATGCTCACGGTAATGTCTTTCCATGGGGGGAAAAAACATCCAAACTCATAATTCGTGTATAATGCGCACCCCCTTCTACACAGCTGTGTTTTTTCGAAAAAATGTGTGCACTTTACTCAAGAAAATACGGTGATGCCAAAGAAGTAATTGAAAATGCGATCAGGACCGATATAAAGTGTGAGGGCAAGATAGACATCACTGGAGTACACAACGTTTCGGAGCATATACTTACTCCTTCACCTGATAAAGGAGTAAGTATATACGTCGCAAAAAATGGGTTCCTCATAATAAAGAAGCTGTCATCCATTAATTCTCTTTCTTATGTTCAAAATGCATTCATCCAAACTCGTTTCCTCACCTTGCTTTGGTCCTTGCAGTCCCCCTGTGGCGGGATGATCGGCTGCCAGTTGGCCCCTCTGTTGTATGTGATCATTGTGTGGATACTCTTGTCTTCATTTATCTGACTGGCCAGGTAGACCCCCCTCATAGACTCCACCTTGTAGAAGTCGGTCACGCTGTTGAAGTTGGGGTAGAGGTGGTGGAGCAGTGACTCGGAGTAGACCACGCCAGCCTTGGCGGATGTGTACAGTGTGCCGGACCCTGTGTCTGGAGGTAGAACAGGTGGCACATAAAACTCTGCTCTTGTGAGTGGGTGAATTACAAGACTTCGATTTACATTCATGCATACCCTAATCCATTCACGCATACCCTTACCCTAACCCATTCACGCATACCCTAACCCTAACCCATTCACGCATACCCTAACCCATTCACGCATACCCTAACCATAACCCATTCACGCATACCCTAACCAATTCACGCATACCCTAACCCTAACCCATTCACGCATACCCTAACCCATTCACGCATACCCTAACCCTAACCCATTCACGCATACCCTAACCTTAACGCATTCACACATACCCTAACACAAACCCATTCAAGCATACCCTAACCCTAACCCATTCACACATACCCTAACCCATTCACACAGACCCTAACCCTAACCTATTCACGCACATCCTAACCCATTCACGCATACCCTATACCTAACCCATTCACGCATACCCTAACCCTAACCCATTCAAGCATACCCTAACCCATTCACGCATACTCTAACCCATTCACGCATACCCTAACCCTAACCCATTCACGCATACCCTAACCCTAACCCATTCACGCATACCCTAACCCATTCACGCATACCCTAACCCTAACCCATTCACGCAAACCCTAACGCATTCACGCATACCCTAACCCTAACCCATTCACACATACCCTAACCCTAACCCATTCACGCATACCCTAACCCTAACCCATTCACGCATACCCTAAGTCTAACCCATTCACGCATACCCTAACCTTAACCCATTCATGCATACCCTAACACTAACCCATTCACGCATACCCTAACACTAACCCATTCACGCATACCCTAACCCATTCACGCATACCCTAACCCTAACCCATTCACGCACATCCTAACCAATTCATGCATACCCTAAACCTAACCCACTCACACATACCCTAACCCATTCATGCATACCCTAACCCTAACCCAATCACGCATACCCTAACCCTAACCCATTCATGCATACCCTAACCCTAACTTTAACAGGAGTGATGTCATGAGTGTGTCTAACAGCTGTTTGAGTGTGTTTAGAGAGAAAGGTGAGGTGAAATGGGGTTTAACCTCACATTCAATATTATTGCATGTATAGTGATGTGCATGCATGTGTGTGGCGGCTTGTACTAGTCAGGACTTATGCCAGTTTTATAGTGCTAGCATACTGAGATACCTTACTGCAGTTTGAACATGGATACCCTCCCTGGACACAGTATACTCACTCTGAGAAGACCAGTCCTTGTTTTATCGCCTAATGCAGAAATAACAAGTACCATCTTTTAATATCTTTTGGTATGATGAGACCAGAGATTGAACCACCGACCTTCCACTCTCCAGGCAGACTATGGAGGATGTCACAAAGTAAATATATATTTTGCAGATTTATGTGTAATATTGAGTATTCGATTTGGTGTTGGTTCCAAATGCTATAATAAGCACAGATCAAATGATCCATAACACCCACAATCAACATCACTTCAATAAGAACTGCCTCCCTGGTAGAACGTCCGTCCAGAGAGGGATAGGTCCAGGGTTTGATCCCCAGCCGCGTCATACCAAGAGACGTCATAAGATGGTTCTTGTTGTTACCCTGTCTTGTGCTCATCACTACAGGGCTAAAACAAGGACTGGTCGGCTCGGAGTCAGTATACTGTGTCTGAGCAGGGTGTTCATGTTAAACTGCAGCATGATAAATCAGTCGGAGAGAGAGAGAGAGAGAGAGAGAGAGAGAGAGAGAGAGAGAGAGAGAGAGAGAGAGAGAGAGAGAGAGACGTTCAGGTATTAAATACTGGATGAACAGATGGACAGAGTGAGTTAGAAAAGGAAGAGTGATTCACCTCCAGGGTTGTCCACATGCATGAAGACCAGGTGCTCCGACATGTCCAGCACTGAGTAGAACTACAACAGGAAAATCACCATTCAAGAATGCAAAAATACTAATTAGAATCAGTATGACACTGAAACTAGTAGGCCTTTAAGGGTTCCAAATTCCGTGTACTCTTCTTGTGGACACACTTACTTCCACACGGCACACCTGAACATCGCATTGATGCCCTGTGGCTAACTTCAAATCTTTTTATTTCCCCTTGCCATTTCTGAAGACTCCACACCACAGAGAATCAATTTAAAGTGCATGACATTATAACCCAGGCTTGTTTCACCAAGCTATCTTAGTGCTAAGATTACTGGTCAATCTAGTTTAAGGAACTTAAGGTAATCAAAACTCCAACAAAAATGCCACAAATGTTAAGTGTTTCCACTTGCAACAACAACGTCACTGACCCGATCTCCATCCAGGGTGGGTAACTGTGCCTCATTCCACGTCCTCCCAGCATTCGTGGACACCATCATCACCTTCTTGGAATTCTGTAATAAGAGTACAACAATGACAGTAGCTCACCCGGATACAGTCAAGTGTTGTTTATCCAACAATCAGCTTTATCTGACACTAATTGAACCGATTAAATCAGTGGTATTTAGACCCGTTAATCCGACATTCTCGCACACTGACTCCGACACACCTAATTTGCAACGAATTACCGAAATCACTCATTAATCAGTCTCTGACACAGTGATCAGCGGACTCCATTGTCATCTGCCCACGAGTACACAGCCGCGTGTTTTGATGTGAGACGAGTCGGCTAGTAACAGCATATTACAATGGCTGCAGAGATAAACTTGCTTGACAATAAACAATTAATGCATTAAATAAACAAAACAGGATTAATCACATGCTTACATTACTTCAATCATATTACAATCAGATACAAGTTCTCGCTACCGCTGAGGACATCCCATTACAGGGCACGTCTGAACCACCTTTCGCAAACTTTGACCGAACAATGAAATGACTAAAAGGAAGTCGACATTAGCCACTAAGAAAGCAGATTTCTTAAGCTTTGCAGCACTAGTTTCAAACTGGTGACTTCAATTCCAGACTATGATTTTTAAAGTATTTTGAATCAAGTCATACAGTCCGTAACAGAAGTTTTGTGTTAAGCTTTAGAGGTGCATGATTAGAAAACATATTCCGCTAACAATGTAACATAACAATATGAATATTTCATTATTTATTACGTGTTTGAATCATTTTCTATCGTGCAGTTGTCCGATTTTCTGCCCCGAACGTTGATACTACTTAATTTCGTTTAACCGACATACTCGTTAATCCAACATAATCATATGAAACCATCCATGTCGGATTTACAGAACTTGACTGTATGAAGGCAACAGTTAATAACATCCTGTCGGCATTGATACTGGATAAATACTGAGGACCAGGACCCAACACTAAAACAATAATAATCATCATCATGTCATCACAAGGAGAGACACACGTGCCAACGGTCACCTTAACCTTCCTCAGTCTGGTTTACAAAGCCAAATATGCCTGATAAGAGAATCTGAGGGCGCAGTCAAAACACGAAGGTCAAAACACATGATGAGGCAGCCTTTACTGAAAATCATAACTTCTTGGAGAAATTGGCTGACATCATTGGTGGGAACAAGAATGTGCAGTTTAACCTTCATTGGTCCAGTGCAGTGATTCCTGAGAAGATGTTTATGACACGCCAGATGCCAGCGCCGGACAGACAGGCCACGACATGACCTCACACTTTTCTAATGTTGCCATGGTGAGTGAACAGAAGGATGACAAATCATTCAAAAACATTCACGCGAACGCACCACTTGTTAAGGTGTGGTGTTCTGGACAGCGGCACGTGGCGCACGGGCGGCATGCGCAAATGCGTGTGGTGGGGAACTCTGTCCCTAGCCTTGTCACTTTATAGTCATGCTTGGTAGAGAGCTGCCATTTTGCCGGTGGCTGCCTCTGACAGTGTCAAATCAGGTCACAATTGTAGTATTTGTAAAGTCAAATGAGGACTTTAAAAAAACAAATAAGGGCTTTTCAAAGTCAAATAAGGAATAAAAACATAGTCAAATAAGGACTAAAACATTGTCAAATAAGGACAAATCCTGGTAAGTAGTGCATTTAGAAATAGTTTCTGAAATCGTGGGTTAATTCGAATTTGGTGTAAATTTGAGTTTCAGTTATTAAACAGACATTAACATTAAGTTTTGTTGAGTTATTTTTAAGACTTCCACTGCGTATCAGTGAGATTTCCAAAGAATTTTAGACACATCTGAATCAATTTTTAATGTTAGCTGAGAAAGACTTTCGTACAGTTGGCAAGAGAGAAAATAAGGTAATTATCAAATTCCAGGAAATTGCTGCAATGTATATGATCCAGGTAATTATCAAATTCCATGAAATTGATGCAATGTATATGATCTGGTGTTAATTTGTACAGAGATGACCTGTTAATGTTTGGTGTGAAATAATCCGGCTAAACAAAGTCCAATATCAAAGAATCATTGGTACAGAATAGTCGTCCTTTGACAATATATCTATTTTCAAGACGTCGGGTTTCGGAGTTAAGAGATTTCACTGCACAGAGCTACAGATAAGCTGCGTATTTGCGTAAAATACCCCCCAAAACTATTCAAAACCCAATAACTTTCAATCAACTTGCGTACAGAAACGCATGCATTAAATGGAAAACTCAATTGTTTGAAAACAGCACGTGTAAACACCCAATGAAGCTTTTTCAGCATGCGTACAACGGAGCTAATTTCCGAAACACAATTATGAGCTAATTTAGTTTCCGAGTCAAGCCTATATTTAGAACCGTTATATTACATCTAAAAGATTATTTCATTTTCTTTTAAATCTCAAAATGCTTACTCATTTTGGGAAAACCCAATAGAGTGATGAATAAATGAGTGAAAAAAATATTGATTACCCAATGAAAAATGTCATAACCTAGTAAAACAGAAACCTTCAAGTAAAAACTCAATTGCTCAAAAAGTTATCTGGAGCTCTGACTGTACATATATACCTGCTGATAATACCACCTACCTGTGTGGGATTAGCATCCATGTACACAGAAGCATAGATAAATGCTCCTTGTATTCCAAACGCAATAACATTCTTGTGAAGCACCTCCTTTGAAGTAGCGTCAATATCCGCAAACTTGGTCAGGGTGTATGTAGTGACTTTATCTGAAGTAAAACACAAAGTCTCATACGAAATCAATTAACCAATAAAGTTCTCCGGTCTCTATCAATAACAGTTGGTGCGGTGCTGGACAACTAAGAGCCTCACAGGTGTGACTGATCGAGTCTTGCCACATAAGGGACACAACTCTGCACGAGTTATTGCATCTAAGACAGTTGAATCACCTCCCTTTTCTTATTTAAAAGATGATTAAACTTGACATCAAATTAATTAATATATCAAATATTTATCTTGCATATATAGATCCATGTAATCAATATCACAAAACAATGAAGTTTGATCATCGTGTGAAGATTTGACTTTATCGAGCATTGTAAATTTAAGTACTATGTCACCACTTAGCTTTATAAATTCCCCTCCCAGGAGATCAAGAATACCGTATTCGACGTAATAAGCGCCCCGCTCTAATAAGCGCCCACGGCGATATTTGCTAATATATTGGCTAGTGAACAATCCCACCAATTAGCACCCCTTCCGATTGATCAATGTACACAAGACATATTTTTTCGCGTAAAATACGCACTCGAATGCTATATGCACCCTTAATTGTGGGCAATTAAATTCTGGAAAAATATATCTGTCGCACATAAACATTTCAGGCTGTCAGCATTTCACCAAAGTAATATTGTAATAAGAGCCCCCTATTTCTAATTTTGAGAGCGCCCTGAGCGCTTATTACGTCGAATACGGTAATATACAAAGAACTTGTTGGACTTACTTGACATAAACGTATGTCGGATACCAGTTCCCACCAAGGCAAAAATAGCATCTGGCTCCTTCATCTCCTCATTTCCCCTGCACAAAAAAAAAAGTAATATTCTTTCATATGTTACATGGCAGTGGAGAGTTTTGTGATTGTCAGGAGCAGCAGATGATTGAAGCACTTGTAACATGTTGTGCGCTGTAGTGGCCAATTTACACTTGTCAGAGGGGTACATAAAGTACGTGATCTAGACTACCAGTCGTCCGACTTTCATTTTTGTGGAAGCCTCGGTGGCTGATTGGGTTAGATCGCTGACTTTGTGTGCTGACGATTAGGTGCCTCACTCTGGCAGTGTGGGTTCGAATCCCAGACGGGACTCAGCCCCAAAAAGTACAAGAATCTGTACTTTACAAAGAAAGTGTTATCCCAAATATAACATTTGTTTCAGATTGTAACAGGAAGTGTGATTTAGAGTGACCTCCCTTGGCTGTTGACAAACCAAGCTCCTCACAGCGATTGCCCATTCGTGGAGCTCTCTATACAATTGCATGCTTGCCGTAAAAGGCGACTAACAGGATCGGGTGGTCAGGCTCGCTGACTTGGTTGATCCATGTCATCGGTCCCAATTGCATGGATTGCTGTTCATGATATTGATCACTGGATTGTCTGGTCCAGCCATGATTATGTACAGGCCGCCGTCATAAAGCTGGAATATTGCTGAGTGCGGCGTTAAACAACCAACCAACCAACTATACTATCACTGCCACCAGTCATAGCTACCCACTGTGATAGGTTGCCACAACCATGCTTGGAGTTGAACTTGCAACTGACTCACCGTTATGTTTACAAACAAGTGCTGACAGTCATGACGCCGAATACTCTTACCCCAGCTAAATTATTCTCTTTCATTGTCAATTTTAATTTCTATTTTCAACTATCATGTAATTGGTATAGTAAGAATGTAAGGGGGAAGTTGGGAGATTTTCTGTTGTTCTGCAATCTCAAACCAATCTGAACAAACAAACAAAAAGCTAAATTCATCCGGGAAATATGGTCAGTCGTAACCTTTTCAAATTTCACTATGATGGCATTCCTAAAGACATAAACAAAAGTAAAAACGTTACTACATTGGGGGTTAGAGGGCAAATGTCAAGATTCTCCCACACTGACGGCAGCGATGTTACCGAGAGTGTAATGAAGATGTCACGCTGAGAAGGAGCTTGTTGACAAACATGGGAGACCTGATCCTTCAAGGAGTTTCGTGATGTGACAGTTTCTAGAAGGCTAGTTGTACCCTTATGAGCAACCCAAAGGCGAATCGAGGCCTTCTACAACCTGACTTGCATCTTATCTTTTTGCCAAGTGCGGATATATAACCTTTTATTCCCCCATAAAGAAGAGTACAAAGAAAAAACAGAAAATAATAGATGAACATTTATCAGAACAACATATTATTTTGCATTAAATATGCAGAATGGTAATGCTGATATATTGAGAGTTAGTTGAACACCATTTCAAACATTGGCTTGACATATTTAACACACACACTTACAAAGTCATCAGCATCTTTGTCACATAGTCTGTAATCTGTTCTACAAGACAACAGGCATTCAGTGAGCTTTGCTGAGTCCATACCATGCAGGTAGCAGCTAAAGTCGACATCACCGATATTGATCAACTCCATCCAGAGCTGATCCCGAATATCACACGTACATTCACACTCAACAACTGCATGTGTCACTGGATCACGATACACAAGACCACATTCGTGGCACAGTCCTGTATCACACATGTCCTTTGCGGTGGCACACGTCCTTATCCCAAAGTTAGAGTTCAGTCTCAGAGTTGGGCCGTCTAAGGAGATCTGCCAGGCTGGATGGACATCATATAGTCGATGGATTCGACTAAACATCTGGAGTTCTGGATCAGCAGCAAGTCTCTGCCTCCAGGCAGAGAGATGGTGAGATTTTAGAGCTTTACTCACTAATCGTTTCCATCTCTGTTTCCCTATGAAGATACCATTCCGCAGTTGGTGAATGTAACACATCAGTCTGGTCATGAACAGCTGATGAGGCAGGAACTTCGGGTTCATGTTGATGATGCGCTCCAGGAAATACAACTTTCTTTGATCTATATGGTATTCAATGGGTAGAACACCAAGAAGACTCAAGCAGACATCAGTACGGGTCAGTCGCGGCAGGTCCTGGATCACGATACGCAAGACCACATTTGTGGCACAGTCCTGTATCACACATGTCCTTTGCGGTGGCACACATCCTTATCACAAATTCTAGATATCCATGAGTGCACAATCATTTATTCTAGGGCCTGTCACATATTGCTGCTGCAACATTTTGACCCCTTGTAAGTGTTATCCTGTACCGGTGTGGTTGAACATAATTTATTGATTATTCATTGACCTTGTTTGGTCATTTATTGATTTCACAACTAAGTTCTGAACGAAGTGATTTCTGTGTTAATCTTTGCATTTCAATTTCACCTTGTAACGATTAAAATCAGGTCCTCATGCCACACAGGTGCCCGTGGGGATTTCAGATTACAAATGGTCCCCAGCAACCTTAGCTTGTTGTTGGGGGCAACTGAGTGGATCAGTGGTCAGACTCAGTGACTTGGTGCTCATAATATCAGTCACAGGTTTGTCTGGTTCAGATTTGATTATGTACAAGCAGACATACAGCTGAACTATATACGAAAAACAAACAGAAAACAAACAGGCTTCTCAAGAGATAGTAATTGTTTTACCTGTTCAGTTAAAACATATTTTCTGCACATTACGAACTACAATTTATTGGAAAGCTTGAAATAGTCATTCAAGAGAGCTGTAATTTGAGAGACAGCTGTTGCCATATTCCCAATGGGAGAATAAATACATACCATTTGGCCTGCCATACTTTCTCTGTGATCAGGCGGATGTACTTGAAGTTCTTATTAGTAGCAAATAACTGAAATGAGAGAAAGGGTACCAGTAACTTTCTGAGTCATATTATCATGATTATGGATAGTGTTATTGACGCGATAAACTTGGTATCATGATCTGCACCGGAACTTCTTTAAGCCCCATACATCGATATACTGTCTGCTTAATCAATAAATTATTGACAAACCGTCCCAATAATCATATGTAGGGGTTTCCTGAAGTAAAGGCGATTCTGTTGACAACCATCTCTGCAAATAATTTGACACCTAATGATAAACGGGTCAGTTCAATTTAAACATCAATATAAATGTAAAATATGTATTAAGCTCGTCGAAGGCTCAATAAGGCAAAAGAATTATGCATGAGATCCAGTTCTTGATATGTACTGGGAGTGACCGAGTTTGGTGTAACACCACTTAGACAAGTATTTCAGTCATATAACAGTGTGTCACTTTCAATGGAAACATTTGAGATTGTTGACATTATTGTTTTTTATTGTTTCTTACATTGCTACAGTTCCCTGCTGCATCACACACTCACTCAGTGTAGTCTACAACCATAAATAGCTCCTCCCACTTACGTCTCCATTGGTTGCTACAGTTCCCTGCTGCATCACACACTCACTCAGTGTAGTCTACAACCATAAATAGCTCCTCCCACTTACGTCTCCATTGGCTGCTACAGTTCCCTGCTGCATCACACACTCGCTCAGTGTAGTCTACAACCATAAATAGCTCCTCCCACTTATGTCTCCATTGGTTGCTACAGTTCCCTGCTGCATCACACACTTACTCAGTGTAGTCTACAACCATAAATAGCTCCTCCCACTTACGTCTCGATTGCTTGCTACAGTTCCCTGCTGCATCATCACACACTCACTCAGTGTAGTCTACAACCATAAATAGCTCCTCCCACTCACGTCTCCATTGGCTGCTACAGTTCCCTGCTGCATCACACACTCGCTCAGTGTAGTCTACAACCATAAATAGCTCCTCCCACTTATGTCTCCATTGGTTGCTACAGTTCCCTGCTGCATCACACACTTACTCAGTGTAGTCTACAACCATAAATAGCTCCTCCCACTTACGTCTCCATTGGTTGCTACAGTTCCCTGCTGCATCACACAGTCACTCAGTGTAGTCTACAACCATAAATAGCTCCTCCCACTTACGTCTCCATTGGTTGCTACAGTTCCCTGCTGCATCACACACTCACTCAGTGTAGTCTACAACCATAAATAGCTCCTCCCACTTACGTCTCCATTGGTTGCTACAGTTCCCTGCTGCATCACACACTTACTCAGTGTAGTCTACAACCATAAATAGCTCCTCCCACTTACGTCTCGATTGCTTGCTATAGCCAGAATCAAATTGGGGCGATTGTCAGTGTGAAAGATCAGTGGTTCCGACACAGTTGTCCCGTCTTTCGTAACCTGTTTGGCAGAGAAGCTCTCTCCCCCATCCTCTGTGATATGCACTGTTGCCTTGTGTGTTAACATGTACACCTGCAAACAAATGAGAAAGTTCACAATCACAATGAATGATATATGAAGTTGTGATCTCATCACTTGGAATCGACCTGTCTCCAGGTATCTGTGAGAGAATCCTGCATGATGCAGGCCTAAGACATTTTACCACTTGGTCAAATCCACGAGCAATGCTAAAGTACTGACAACATCACGAAAACATTATCAGGGTGAATCAGGTCTTGAATGCACAGTCATAGGTTTCTAGCAGACCTAAGGGACACAGCTCTGCACAGCGAACTGCCGCGTCTTAAAAGAGTGAGTAAGTGAGTGAGTTGGGTTTAACACTCCTTTTAACATTATTCCAGTTATATCACAGCGTGTCAGCTTAATGTGGGAGGAAAGCCCGAAGTGATGCAGGTCTCAGACGTTTACCACTTCGGTGAAACCCACAAGCACGGGTATGGTGCTGACAAACCTAGAAACATAATCGGGGTGAACCGGGATTCGAACCCACATTTATAGGTTTGTGGCGTGTCCAAGGGACGCAACTCTGCACAGCAAATCGCGGCGCCTTAGACGACTGGGCCCCCCGTGCCCCCCGTCTTAAAAGACTAAACGGGGCACCTGACCAGTGTCACACTTTTACAAGAAAAGAATCTGTAGTGTTTTTTATGACAAACTCCTGGCTGTAGCGTATTCTGTATATAAATAATAAGTATCCATGGAACATGGACTAATCGGTCAGGTCTTCATGTTGATTGTTTTGGATATATGAAACATTGTGAATGAATGCTATTTCAATGATATCAGTAAATACTTGCATATAATGTCATAAATTGTCCATGTGATGTCGTTCGAACAATAGACTTACTGACCATTATTTCTACATGTGATTTCCAGTTTTCTACATTTTATTATAAAATAATATCGGCATACAATATTGAAATATCTACACGAAGCTTGCATATCTCAATAAAAATATTGACAGACCCTCGCCAAAGCTCAGGATTCACAAAATAAATTCTCTTTTATGTATATATCTATACCTATCATTATTAATGTTTTTACCATATTCAACGTAATAAGGGCCCAGGGCTCTCTATAGAAATAGGGGGCTCTTATTAGAATATTATTTTGGTGGAAAAAACAGAGTTGAAAGATAAATTTCGTGGCTTATGCTGACAGTCTGAAATGTTTATATACGACAGATACATTTTTCCAGAATATAAATGCCCATAATTAAGGGTGCATATAACACACGAGTGAGTATTATACACGAATAAATAAGTCTTGTGTACCTTGATAAATCGGAAGGGGGGCTAATTGGGATTATTCACTAGCCAATATATTAGCAAATATCGCCGTGGGCGCTTATTAGAGCGGGGCGCTTATTACGTCGAATACGGTATGTTATATTTGGGATAACACTTTCTTAGTAAAGTACATATTCTAGTACTTTTTTTGGGTTGAGTCCCGTCCGGGATTCGAACCCACACCGGACAGGACTCAACCCCAAAAAAGTACTAGAATCTGTACTTTACTAAGAAAGTGTTATCCCAAATATAACATATGTTACATTTGACCACTTTCTAAATGGCATTGTGTATTCATCATGATTCATTTGTAAACTTTTCTGCACTAATTTATATATAGTGTACAGGAAGAAATAATACGAACACACAGCAACGACTGTTTGTTTCAAATATAGTCATGTATAAAGAGTTTGAGTTATAAGCAGAGCCTGTGACAGTTTTATGACTGCCAGCAAACATATTGATCCTAAAACAGTTTTGAGGTCACTTGCTAGGGTACCGACAAATGAAAACGTCAATTATTCAGAGACATCTGGATGTTGACTATAGGTTTCATATTATTCAAATATGATAACACAATTGAGTTCTGAAACAGTTTAGAATAAGAAAATAATTTAATGCCTGGCTTAAAAAAGTAAAGGAATTGGTTGTCAGCTTTTGAAAATATAGTGCAGGCAGGTGGTTGTTGTTGTTGAAACTAGTATGTAGCCAAATAAACAGTTGTGTACAATCAACCTGGGAAAGGGTCTACCTAAACGTATTCCTTGATGAGTAAAATACTGGATTACAGTATTTGACTACCGTTGGATGTGAGCATAATACAAGCCTTCAATGAGTTTTGATTTTATTTCACTGTGCCGAAAAGATTATCGTGAGCACACAAACACAACACCGGGAGATCCGTACGGAAGTGCAAAGGTCATTCTGTTATAACACAATCTGGCTATAAAAGTGTTCATTGTGTATCTGGACTAACATTTGTAATCCATTATATTACTTTTATCCCAGATTTCTATCAAGTTTGTTGACAATAATTTCGGCGAAATCGTGTATGAACTGATCGGCAAATCACATCAACTCACCATGAACTCATCTTGAAACAAACATTAGTCGTTAGAGATACAAAGTCTTCAGTCCTATCACTGTAGTGAAATTTCTTTTCAGTTATGACATTGGCCATGACATTAAACATGTTTTAAAGTAAATCACCCACAGATTGGAGAGAAAATGTGTGAACAGCTGATTGCTATTTCTGGCTTTTTTTAAAACACACAAACACACATGTAATCTTAATCTCTGTGTATGAAACATTGTCTGGCATACAGTACACAAATACCTTTGAATTTACAAATCACCATGTCTGGTGATGTTTTATCGTAAATTTCACGTTTTCACATACCGGGTACACCTATTGCCGCCATGACGATAACACAAGATTCGTAGTAAAGCAGTGCGCATGTGAAGGGAAGATACTTCATGCCATACTGGACCACATTGGTTTTTACAGGGTATGAAACTCCCAAAAATTTCAGCCAAACCACAGGACTGGCTAGCTGAAATACTTGCCAGCCCTGACCAAAACCTGCCTGCCCACTATAATCATATGTTTCTCAGGATAAGCTAACGGGGTTTCTTTTCGGTTACATTCTATCATTCATCTTTACATGTGAATTAATGCTTATCATCGGGAAATATTTAGAATATTTTCACATATGAAATATAACCCGACCGTCGGGCAGGGGGATTTGAAAATCTGGCAGCCCGAGTTGAAATCAACCCGTCTCGGTCGGTCGGGCAGGCAGGTATTTCGAACACTGGTTTTTGGTACTGTAGCATTTCACTGCCGGGGTTGCGTGTTTTAGAAGTAGAATATTTAAGCCTTATATATATTTTTTTTAAATGGAAATAAAAAAATGAAACATGCCGCTGACTTTATGATGATGTGGGCAGTGCCTGAGACCCAAGACTAGGGATGGGTATTGGAGGTTTAAAGTGTATCACAATATTTTGCGATGCACAAGGCCGTATTGCGATACGTATCACAATACTTTGCATAATTCTTAAGTTTGAATTCAGAAGCAATCTGATACATTAAGGTATGAATAGAAGTTCAGAAATGGAACAAAACAAGATGCTGGTACAACATGATGTTTACTCATTCAATTAATACACAGCCATATTGCGGACTTGGATGCATGCTGTGTCACAGCGAAGGCAATTGGCAAGAAAATAACATTAAACACATTACAAAAATCACTATTTCAAATCACCCATGTATTGAGCATGATGAAATGATATTGTGTTACGTATGATGGAAAGAATGAACCTCGATTAGCCAATATACCCAAAATACCGCACACCCTTACCCAAGACTGTTATTTGTTTTTAGCCATAGTGATTTTTCTTAAATCTTGAGTTGAGTGGGATTATTAAACAGTCAGGGAGTGCATGCATGCAGGCAACAGTATCATAATTGTCCAGTTCCTTACATACTTTTGTTAAAAAAATGTACAGATGAAGAAAACCAACGTTTCCAAATTTTCCCATCATTCATTTGGCGGCCATCTTGGATTTCAAGATGGCGGCCATTTTTGCCCATATTTGTCAAGTCTAAAAGTAGGAACTTGCTTCCATCCAAGTTATTCGCAGTTACCAAACAAATATTGAAAAGCTCTTTTCATTCTTGTATCTTGCTTCATGTTAACACTTCCATTCTCTGTACACAACAAGGGTGGAGCCTGATATTGTCTCAGCCACTAGTCTGAAGCCCAAGTCTAGTAAAATTCTGTTTGGTCTGGTAAGATCAGCTAACAATGGTCCATATGAAAACCATTTTACAAATTCCCTGAATTCCTATCACAAATTCCCAGGAGCTTTCATATAAAACCTTGTCCAAGGTTGTTTTTAACTTATTCAAGTAGAATGTATTGTATAAAGTACACGATGTCTCTACTCAAATGGCATATTAACATGTGCAAATTGTCGACTTTGACTTTGACACAGCTAGCAAATGAAATCATATTTTCAGGACAGTTGTTAAGCAATCAAAAATTCCTGTATGCGACTTCAGCCCTAGACTAGTACAAGATTTTTCTATGTCTGCAATATGACAAGCATAGTCTTACTATTTATTTGATCACTAAAATAATATATTGACATACACTAGTCCATGCTAGTCAATTAACAACAAATAAGACTTATGAGCATGATGAATGAAATATGGCATTTATAAATTATAATACATGTATTCATTCTCTGGCAACTATGGTTTGTTTCAAGGCGTTAATCTGATCGTGGCCAATAATTGTGGTTGGTTGGTTTGTTTGTTGTGTGATAGATGAAGCCAACATTTATCAAAGAAAATACCTGCTTGTAAAATATATTTGCTACTACATGTTATACACCATTTGAAAGGTCTGATCCTATGGTTTATAAATATGAAAGTTATGTTTTACACATTATTTAAAATAATGCATTTACAACATAATTAAATTCGTTGTAAATAAAAAATGTACGCTAACACGTTGTTAACATGCAGATTAAGGACCAAGGAAGCGAAAAGTTGACGATTTTCGGCAAATATATGATTTCATAATATCCACGTACCTATTTCTGTTTTATTTTCATTGTTTACGTAATTGGAAAATCATTTTAAAAAGAATTATAAATAGTTTCTGTCATCACACATTTCCCGATAACAGCGACTGTCCGCTCAGTAAAATGAAGAAATACCCCCGTTTTCGAGGTTTCGTGTGAATAACACGTTTGTCGAAGAATGGCATACGACACATCGCTGGAAAGCTTATTCCTTCATCTACACGCTCGTAACATCGACTGGTGTTTTTTCGTAGTTATAACAAGCGATTTCATTGGATTAAAATTCGTTTCTAATGACGCTTTCTTGCTGAAATCTGCTACAAGTTTCGTGATTGGTCAATTTTGAGCATGTGACCTAAGGCAGCCAATCAAATTACAGCTGTGATACCAAGCTCGTGTTCGATAAATTACAGAAGTTTGCGAAAGAATTTTGTTAAATCGTGTTATTCTGAACGTTTTGAGCAGGAAATCACTATATATATTAAAAATATGGAACTTCGTGAATGTATCGTGCTAGGTTACGAGCTGTGACAAAGATTTTTCATGCATATATTTTTGCATTAAACATCGTGTCCGAGCCGAGAATTCAAGGCGACGAATGCCGAGATGTCATTTGACTTACATTCCACGCGATCGCACGAAAAGATGGAAATAATAACTTAGATGTAAGTTTGATTACTTTTAGATATATTTTTGTTGATTTTATTTATTACTTTGTATAATATATTTAATGATTTGTTTAAAACGGCTTTATTTTCCTCTTTGACGTGTTCGATGTGGACCCGTTGTCGAAATGTGTGTCCGGGGATTATATTTTCAATAACATCGCGAGAAATTAATGGAAACAATACTGAATGCAGTTTTTTATCAAATTAATAAGGAAGATTATAAAAAGCCTGCTATACAATGAACACTTTTTTATAACCAGACTGAGATAATGAGAGTAACTTGCATACTTCAGTATGGACTTAGCATGTTTAATGACATGTTATTTTCTGGTGTTACGTGCTAGCGCTCATTGCGTTGTGAATTTAAATGTTTAAGTTTTTGTTTGTTGTTGAACACATCACACAGCAATATTACATTAAATACATATATGTGCATGTTGAGTCCGAAAATCCAGTCTGGACTGTACAATCAAGTGATTGACATTACAAGCTGAGGTGAGGTGAAATGGGGTTTAACATCGCATCCAAGATTATTGCACTTATATAGTGACTTGCATGCACGTGTGTGTGTGTGTGTGGCTGCTTGTACTAGTCCGGACTGATGCCGATTTATAGTGCTAGCTCACCGAGATACCATGCCGCAGTTTAACATGAATACCCCACTCAGACACAGTATACTGACTCCGAGCCAACCAGTCTTTGTTTTAGCCCCTTAATGCCGAGCACCAGACAGGGTAACAACAAGTACCATCTTTTAACGTCTTTTGGTATGACGCGGTCGGTGATCGAACCCCGGACCTTCCGCTCTCCGGATGGACGCTGACATTACAAGCATTAATGGGATACGATGTCAATCAACCAAGTCACCGAGCCTGACCACCCAATCCATGTAGGTGCCTTTTACAACACGCAAGTTGCTGGGGACCACTATTCTCAACTAGATAAAGATATCAAACTCATCCTATACATGTATAATATAAGACAGTTGGTTGGTTTGTTGTTTAACGCCGCACTCAGCAATATTCAAGCTATATGACAGCGGTCTGTTAATAATCGAGTCTGGAACAGACAATCCAGTGATTGATATCATGAGCATCCATCCACGCGATTCGGATCAATGACATGCATCAACCAAGTCAGCAAGCCTGACCACCCGATCCCATTAGTCGCCTTTTACGACAAGCATCGTCTACTTTTACGGCAAGCATGGGTTGCTGAAGACCTATTCTACCCCGGAATCTTCACGGGTCTTATAAGACAGTACTGGGGGCACAGCACTGACAAGGGTCAAAGATTGTAATATTGTTACCCATGAGGCTTCATGTGGATTCCTCTGCAATCCATGGTCCTGTCTGATCACAGCCTTCTTTACCAAATCATCAATATTTGTCCATGTGCGACCATAGTCAGTGCTGAAAACGAAATGGATGTGCTTGGAAAGGCATGGAAAATATTCTATTTTCAATATTACGTCCAGCTGTCATTTCGTCATCGTTTTTCACTGTGTTACCATGCATATTGAACAACAGTGTAGCACATGGATGAACTTATTGGCAGACATTTTGACAAAAGGCTCATAATTTATTTGTTTAATTTATTTGTTTGTTGTTATCATCGCACTCAGCAATATTCCAGCTAGATGACGGTGGTCTGTAAATAATTAAGTCTGGACCAGAAAATCCGGTGAATGACATCATGAGCATCGATCCAAAAAGTGGCAATTTTCTACTAGTCCTTATGATACCTTAACTATTGGGCAGTTTGGCAAGGACTATAGGACTAGTGCCAATTTCTAACCCTGGCAAGCCTGACCACCCGATCCCGTTAGTCGCCTCTTACAGCAAGTATGGGTTGCTGAAGCCCCGGATCTTCAGAGGCGCATAATTCATTTTAGGGGATCCGGGGCGGTCGGGTAGCCTAGTGGTTAAAGTGTTCGCTCGTCACGCCGAAGACCTGGGTTTGATTCCTGACATGGGTACAATGTGTGAAGCCCATTTCTGGTGTCCCCAGTCGTGATATTGCTAAAAGCGGCGTAAAACCATACTCACTCACTCACTCATTTTAGGGTATCCTTCACCTTGCAGCGGTAGAAACTAACAGGTTTGAACCACTAGTCCTTACAATGATAACATATAGCAAAACCCTTAAAAAGGGCAAATTTCTACTTGTCCTTATCATGTATGAAACCTTATCTATCGGGCAATTTGGCAAGGACTACAGGACTAGTGCCAATTTCTAACGCTGCCTTGATAACACTGACCAATTTTACTGATAATGTAACTTCTCTAAAAGTCTCAGGCTTTGCCCAGTTATCATTATGTAAACTTTCACCTCATAAATATAGACGGTTTGGCAGTTTCACAAATGACGTTTTAACTAATCAGTCTCATCCAAATCCATGTGAATTCATAAACGTTAATACTTCCTCATTGTCATGACCTGCTGAATAAGGCTTGATTTGACTGGCAATTGACTGAGAAATTGTTCAAAACAATTTTAGCAATACTCCTTACTACTGTATTCAAGTTGTGCTAAAACTCCACATAATTTTCTTCCATTTGTTGTACAGAACTTTGCAGCCCAGAGTCGCCTCCCTTAGGCATGCTCATCGCTATATGGCTAAAATAATGTGATGCGACGTTAAATCTGCTAAAACTCCGCATACTTTTGTTCCATTCATTATACAGCACTTTGCTGCCCAGAGTTGCCTCCCTTTGGCATGCTCGTCGCTATATGTCTGTATATTGCCGATGCGACGTTAAATCTGCTAAAACTCCGCATAATTTTGTTCCGTTCGCTCCTTACTACTGTATTCAAGTTGTGCTAAAACTCCACATAATTTTCTTCCATTTGTTGTACAGCACTTTGCAGCCCAGAGTTGCCTCCCTTAGGCATGCTTGTCGCTATATGGCTGGAATAATGCCGATGGGACGTCAAATTTTAACTCACTCACCTAAGGCAAGCCAGAATCCACAGGTCATTAGTTCGAATACCTGAATACAGCGTTAGAAATTGGCACCAGTCCTGTAGTCCTTGCCAAACTGCCCAATAGTTAAGGTATCATAAGGACTAGTAGAAATTTGCCATTTTTAAGGGTTTTGCTATATGTTATCATTATAAGGACTAGAGGACTAAATATGTTAGTTTCTATCCCTGGAATAACACTGATAATGATCCTCGATTGGTCACCAACATTATAAAACCCGTTTTCCCAAATGCATTTTCGTTTAACTAAAGACCTAAGTGCCAGAAGAGTCGGTATGATGTGAAAACAATGTGTCAGAACACTTAATGCCAGCCATTACGGCATTATTTTACTGCTCAACCAGTTGAGCTAACAACCCCAAAGAAAAAAGCAACAAACCTCCTCCAGATATTGGACATAGCAAACATCATCAGAACGATTTCCGTTGTCACCACAATCAGGGTCTGTGAACATACAAAAACACATATTAGTAACTAACTCATTCTTAACAGGACATAGAGTAAACAATCTCATTAAAATCAGATCTTAGTTTTCGCTACCGCTAACCAAAGATCTGAGGACATCCCATTACGGGTCACGTCAGAACGACCTTTAGCGAATTTTGTCCCGCCAATGAAATGACTGACATAAATCGACATTGGACAATCAGAAGGCAGCTTTATCGAGCTTTACGACACTAGTTTTAAATTGGCGACTACGCTTCGAAACATATTTTGTCCTATAAAACTGATAAGAACATTTTGGAATGGCTTATAGATGGCCTAGATTGTATGGATATAATCATAAAACCTGTAACTGTCGTTCGGAATACCCCGTGTTAAATATATATTGTGGTTGCAGAAAACACATTCCGACTGTCACTTTCATGATCTTGTAAGTGACGCTCTGATTGGTTGGATGAAAGGTCGTTCTGACGTGACCCGTAATGGGATGTCCTCAGATCTTTGTTTAGCGATAGCAAGAACTAAGAACTGATTTTAATGAGATTGTAGAGTAAAGTACTGCCATATCTTGAAACTGGTGTATAACGCAGCAATAGCAAATGGCACTGGTCCTGTAGACCTTACCAAACTGCCCAATTGTTAAGTTATCATAAGGACTAGAAGTAACGTGCCATTTTAAAAGGTTTTGCTGTTATCATTGTAAGGGCTAGTGGACTAAAATTGTTACATTCTGTCACTGATAACATAATATTTTTTGAGCGAAAAAACTACTATTGCTTTAACTACATGTCATCTAAGTAGGATATTGAGAATTTTCTGAGCTTCCCAACAGGTTACATACAGTGTGCCAGAGGAATGTCACACTGACTTACTGAAATGAAAGACCACATAGTGACAAAGACTGATAAATGTTTCCTGGTGTGTTCAATAGAGCTACTTTGTATCACAATCTAAGTTGGTTAGTTGGTTTGATGTTTAAGGCCGCACTCAGCAATATTCCAGCTATATGACGGCAGTCTGTATATAATCAAGTCTGGACCAGACAATCCAGGGATTAACATCATGAGCATCGATCCACGCAATTGGGATCGATGACATGGATCAACCAAGTCAGGGAGCCTGACCACCCGATCCCCTTAGTCACATTTTCGACAAGCATAGTCACCTTTTACGGCAAGCATGGGTTGCTGAAGACCTATCCTAACCCGGAATCTTCACGGGTCTATCACAATCTGAGACACACAGAGAAAAGGAAACGTTTCACTGCACTCTCTTGGACCATTCTTGGCAAATCATAAAAGTCAGGAGAGTGTACATATTTTTACGTAATTACTTGGTCTACATTTTATTACCCAAAGTATATTTTCTTTAATTTCCCCTGCTCAACAATAATGTATACCGTAAGTCATTATTTCACAATCCTGAAATATTTTTATTCATTTTTTTTTTTTATCACTGACCAATATGATTTGTTGGTTTGTTGTTTAACACTGCACTCAATATTCCAGCTATATGACGGCGGTCTGCAAAATAATCAAGTCTTGACCAGACAATCTAGTGATTGACATCACAAGCATCGATCCACGCAATTTGGGATAGGATGACATGCATCAATCAAGTCGGCAAGCCTGACCACCCGATCCCATTATGTGTGTATATGTAAATTTACTATGCGTTCACATGAAAAGCATCTTAGGTGTGTAAATAAAGTATGTAAATTGTGTTAGGCACACATAATCGTCAGTCTGTTCACGACTTTCAACACAGAATAGCTTGTTTTCCAATCAAAGTTGTATGAGAAGAGAGTTACTTCACTGACATTTTTCGTGTGAACCAACATGTATTTGATTTAATTTGTACACCTTGAAACCAAAAGAAAACACTGTCCGCTAAACTCTGTATAAACACATAAAAGTTGGCAACTGTTGACAATTTGTTTGGTGTTGGCAAAAGAACAGATATTAATTAGATCATCCTCTTACGTTGACATAAACGTTCACATAGCAACATATACACACAGTACAAATTTACATTTACATTTGCACCTGCTCCAGACTTGATGCAAATTTGCTCCTGGTGTAAATATACACACATGAGTAACGTGTTCACATTACAAGTATACTCACGTATGTATTTCTACACACGTATACACATATACACACATATGTATAGAGGCACATGTGAACGGGGTATAGTCTGCGGTACAAAATCCTGGAATGTTTCGTCATGCACTGGGCTGCAATGATTGTCCGATCTATTACAATCAGTCTAGCCTCAACTCAATAAGCATGATTTGAAATAGCTTAAACCATTATAATATATTATCATGTGGAATGTGGAAACACTGTCATTAAAAGCTGCTTTTCCTTGTGAGTTATATATCTGCCTATGTGGCAAGGTCGGTAAATGTACCTTAAGGTCAGGTGATCTACAAACAGTAATTACTGAGGCGTGACTTAAGGTCGACAGAACAAGGTAGTGTTTGCTGGGTCAGTATACAGGATGGGCGTACCACCAGACTCCATTCAAGCAATGATTTCTCAACCATTGTCGTGACTGCATTTACCGTATTCAACGTAATAAGCACCCAGGGCGCTCTCAAAATTAAAAATAGGGGGCTCTTATTAGAATATTATTTTGGTGAAAAAAAACAGAGCTGAAAGATAAATTTCGTGGTTTATGCTGACAGCCTGAAATGTTCATGTACGACAGATATATTTTTCCAGAATTTATTTGCCCATAATTAAGGGTGCATATAACACACGAGTATGTATTATACGTGAATAAATAAGTCTTGTGTACATTGATCAATCGGAAGGGGTGCTGATTGTGATTGTTCACCAGCCAATATATTAGCAAATGTCGCCGCGGGCACTTATTAGAGCTGGGCGCTTATTACATCGAATACGGTAATACCTCCAGAACGCTCATATCAGCTCTAGTGCCAATTTCTAACGCTGTCAATAAAATGCATGCAATGCTGTTCAAATTTGTTTTTCTTTTGATCCATGAGTGGTTGTAATTTACACAGGGTTATGTGGAAGTTTCTTTTTCTTAAATTATTGGGGTAAAGAAAATACAAATCAGTCATATCTCAAACGTTACTTTTTATTTGTTGTTATGGTTATCACATTCAAAGGAAACTTCAGTTCCAAGGTTTAATTCAACTCTAAAATCCATCTAAAATGATACACTGAAAACCATCGATATTTATCGCAAGAGTTGCTTGCAATATCAATAGTTATCGCAATAGTTTGAACTGTTCTTTCTATATCAATAGATATCGCAATAGTGATTTCCAGGCCAATAATCACCCCTAGTTTCAATTGTATATCAATGTTAAAAAATAATGCATGAAAGTCAAAAAGTCCAACATGATTAATCACCCTAACAGTAAAAAGACTGAGAGAGGGACCCATTGTTGCAAACACTATTGCAGCTGACCCATAGAACCAAGAACCACCGTTTCACAAAACAATCCTAGCTCTCAACTGTAAGTCCATGTTGCGGTATAGGAATTAATATTGTCGTATCACAATGATCACTATGTGAAACGGCCAAGGATTCCAAATACCATATTCAACGTAATAAGCGCCCCGTTCTAATAAGCGCCCACGGCGATATTTGCTAATATACTGGCTAGTGAACAATACCAATTAGCACCACTTCCGATTGACTAATGTACACAAGACTTATATATTCGTGTATAATATGCACTCATGTGTTATATGCACCCTAAATTACGGGCAATTAAATTCTCGAAAATATATATATCATGTATAATACGTACAGATTCTACTTTTATATCATTTCAGGCTGTCAGCATAAACCACAAAGTTTACCATCATTCAACTCTACTTTTTATCTCTCCAAAATTATATTCTAATAAGAGCCCCCTATTTCTAATTTTTAGAATGCCCTGGGCGCTTATTACGTCAAATACGATAATATGCTATATCAAATTGAAACCTGTCATCCATATTTCATATTTCTACACATTAAACTTTGTATATACTGTATATAATTTCACAACATATCACAATATTATAGCATTATATTAATATTTTTTTACCCAAAGAAAAACACGGCCCGTATTATTCAACACATATTACATAGGACAAGTTTCTAAATTTTTCATTCAAACAGGTGCAATCAACATGAGCATTTCTCCTAAACCTCATCTAGGTGAACATGAGCAAAGGGGCACAGTGCATCACCAACAGCATGAGGATGCAACACGTGCTGGTTCTGTATCACCTTGTATTTTGAATTTGATCAATAAATCAGTAGGAATGATCAATGGACGGCTAGACACGCTAGGCTAACTTGACAATCAATTGTCCAGACTGTGGTCTCCATAGAATTTACTGTAGCACAGACTCTGTGCTGTTGGCATTATTAGTGTGTAGACCAACACATTATACTGTGGGTTGTCCTGTCTCTACTCTCACTGTCTCCTCCATGCATCAGTGGCAGTATTAACCTTAGTTATCTTGTACAAAAAGTGATGTCATATAGGGACACCCTCTAAAAAGCCCAGAGCTCCAGATAACTTTTTGAGCAATTGAGTTTTCACTCTAGGGTTTCTATTTTAATTGGGTTATTACATTTTTCATTGGGTAACCAATATTTTTTCCCTCATGTATGCATCACTCTATTGTTTTATTCCCAAAATAAGTGAGCATTTTAAGGTTTTGAAAAAATTAAATAATGTATATAACTGTTCTAAATATATAGGCTTGACTCGGAAAGTAAATTATCTCGTAACTGTGTTTCGGAAATTAGCTCCTTTGCATGCATGCTGAAAAAGCTTCATTGGGTATTTATGCGAGCTGTTTTTATACATTTGAGTTTTTCATTTAATGCATGCATTTCTGTATGCAAGTTAATTGAAAATAATTGGGTTTTGAATATTTTGGGGGGTATTTTACGCAAATATGCAGCTTATCTGTAGCCTTGCAAGCCCCAGGATAGGTTTATCCTATAGTGTGACTTCTACT